AGTTGAGCATTTCAGTGAGGTTGAACTGGTGTGATTAAACACACATGTAATGTCTGTAATTCCCACACTCAGGCTGAAGCAGAGGCAGAAAAATCACTTCAACCTAGGAATTCAAGTCAATTTTAGGCTACAAAGGGAGATACTATCTCAAAAAAAAAAAAAAAAAAAAGCAAACCAAACAAATGATAGAAAAAAGTTGATAGAATTTTGTTAGAGATCAGCATGGTTGTTTTAGATGGAGGAAATAGTACAATATGGCAAATGGCTTATAAATACAAAATGTTCGATATCCTTAGCTATAAAGGGACCCCAAAACTAAGATTCCATCTCACCCCAGTTGAAATGGCAGTCATCAATCAGTCGATGCTAGAGAGAATGCAGCGCAAAAGGAACCCTCAGATCCTTGGTGAAATGGTTAACTAGTAAAACTACTGTAGAAATCAGTATGGATGTTCCTCAAAAAACTAAAAATGAGGTTGGGAATGTGGCTTACTGGCAGAGTGCTTGCCTAGTATGTATGAAGCCCTGGGTTCCATTCCTCAGTACCACGAAAAAGCCAGAAGTAATGCTGTGGCTCAAGTGGTAGAGTGCTAGCCTTGAGCAAAAGAAACTCAGGGACAGTGCCCAGGCCCTGAGTTCTTGCTATACCACTATTCTTGGGCATATATCCAAAGGACAGTAGATCAGTATTCAAAAAAGTCACCTGCATATTTATGTTTATTGCAGCACTGATCACAATAGCTAGATGGTGGAATCAGCTCAGGTTCCCAGTAACAGAGGAAGAGATAAAGATGTGGTGTGTATATGCACACATACTATGGGATATTACATATTACTTGAAGAAAAATGGATGGAATTGGAGGACATCTAAGAGAAAAACGAAGCCCAAAAAACCAAATGTTCTATGTTTTTCTCCTAAGTGGGAGGTAGACCTGAACTATATACATATTCATGGACATGTAGATATGTATATATACCCATGATGTACACAGATATATATATACATATATATATATGATATATATATACATACATATATATATATATATATATATATATATATGTAGCTAGGTAGGGAGATAGAGAACAAGTTTAAGGTGGGTGCTGCTGGCTCACACCTGTAAATTTAGTAACTCAAGCGGCTGAGATTCTGAGGATCATCATTTAAAGCCAGCCCAGGTGTAAAAGTCCTTGAAATCTATCTCTAGTTAACCACCAAAAAGCAGGCCTGGATGCATGTTACTAGTGGTAGAGTGCTAGCCATGAACAGGTTAAGTGGATGAGAGGCCCTGAGTTCAAGCCCTGATACCTGTGACAATGAAGTACAAGCGTGAAAAAAGCACGAATCTACTAAGGAACTAAGGAGGAGAAGGGAAAAGAGGAAAGAGAGCAAATAATTTTTAAAGATGTTGCAATTGATAGACACATGAAGAAATGCTCAACCTCCCTAGCCATAAAAGAAATGCAAATCAAAACAACATTGAGGTACCACCTCACCCAGTTAGAATGGCTAAAATCAAGAACTCTAATAACAACAGATGCTGGAGGGAATGTGGACAGAAGGGGACCTTACTGCATTGTTGGTGGGTGTGTAAACTTGTTCAACCACTTTGGAAAGTAATCTGGAGGTTCCTCAAAAGACTCCACATAGAGCTCCCCTATGACCCAGCAATCCCACTTTTGGGCATTTGCCCAAATGTTTACAAACAAGACCACACTAAAGCTACCAGCAAAACTATGTTTATTGCAGCACTATTTACTATAGCTAAGATATGGAACCAACCCAGATGCCCGTCAGTAGATGAATGGATCAAGAAAATGTGGTATATATACACAATGGAAGTCTATGCCTCCATCAGAAAGAATGACATTGCCCCATTTGTTAGGAAAGACTTGGAAAAAATTCTATTAAGTGAAGTAAGCCAGGCCCAAAGAAACATAGGTCCCATGGTTTCCCTTATTTGCAATAACTAGTATATGTCTGAGTCAAGCAGAAAAGGTCAGATAAGGTGATGTTAGGGAAATGAACCCTAATGTTTTTTTTCTTTCATGAGATTGTTTCTAACACATTTATAAGATTATTTCTTTGTTGCTTTGTATGTCCCTCCCCCACAGTATAACCTTGCTTTCACTGTATTTGATGTTGGTATAATTTGTGGAGGGGAAGGGGAAAAACAAATCGTTTAAATAGGGATACAGATGGACCCATTGCAACAATGAGATGTACAAGTCGTTATGTCAAAAACGAACTTTACAACTTTGGGGGGGGAGGGGGGAGCAGGGAGGATAGGGGGGGCAGGAGGAGGATGGAAAGGGATGGGAAGGGGAAACAAAGGAGGAGGCTACAATGCTTGATAAGCAATGTACTAATGTACTCATTATCTTGCCCATGTAATTGTAACCCCTCTGTACAGTATTTTCACAACAACAAAAAAAGATGTTGCAACTGTATATGAAAAGAGTGTCAGTGAAAGCTGGCACATGGGTTGGCATGTAGGGAAAGAAAAGCAGGTTTTTTAAGGGTGTTGGATACTGGCAGGGAATGGATTGTGCTAACAAGGTAAAGAATAGTATGTTTGAAGAAATTTGTTTGCATAGATGAGAACAGAACAATTAGACCTATTGAAATTGCTTTAGGAAGTAGGAAGAGGGTAAGGTAAAATGAGAAAGTAGGTGAGATTGACTAAAATACGCATTGTATACATGTGTGGAAATGTTATAACAACACTACCCAAATATATATTCTAATAAAACATTTTAAAAAATATACCTGTAATCATTTCTACTTAGGAAGTGAGATCTGAAGATCACAGCTGAAAGCCAGCCTGATCAGGAAAGTCCATGAGACTCTTATCTCAAACTACCCAGCAAAAAGTTGGAAGTAGAGGAGTGGCTCAAGCAGTAGAGCACCACCCTTGAGTAAAAAAGCTAAGGGAGAGTGAGAGGCCCAGAGTTCAAGGCCCAGTGCTGACAGACACATGCACATCCATACATGTATACAGGCACACGCATATATGCACAAAGATACTATGAAACATTTCTGTCATGACAGGAAAGACCCTCACCCTCTAGCAGTGCTCTCTACCTGGCAGGCAGTCATAGGTCGAGTCCCTTCATAGAAATGGGATCGTACAGCATTGACTGTCTAAACTTGAGACTTTCTCAACAAATTTTCAGAACTCATCCTTGGCATATATGAGTAATTAGTAATAAGTATATGCTGTGTAAATTTCTTTTATTAGTAGTATTTGGATTTTGTTTACAGTTTGGAACTATTGTGAATAAACTTAGGAACATGGATAAATTAGACTATGTTGGAAATAATAACTTACATGCATCAAAAATTACCTCCAAGGAGCTAGGTGCTGGTGGCTTGTGCCTGCAGTCCTAGCTACTCAGAAGGCTGAGATCTGAGGATTGTGGTTTGAGCCAGCCTGGTTAGAAAAGTCCCCGTGAGACTCTTATCACCAATTAACTGCTCAAAAACTGGAAGTGGGACAAGTGGTAGAGCAATAGTCTTGAGCACAAAGAGACTCAGGGACAGTACCCAGGCCCTGAGTTCAAACCTCACAAATGATCCCCCCCAAAAAAATTATCCCAAGGAAAACTAAAGATAAGTCACAAGTTGGGGAAAATTAAAGACATATAATAAACATAGACAAGGAGATCCTACAAACAAAGCTGGGCACTAGGGGCTGGGAAGGTGGCTCAGTGGTAAAGCACTTGCCTTGCATGCCTGAGGCCCTGGGTTCGATTCCTCAGCACCACATAAGCAAAAAGAAAAAAGCCAGAAGTGGCGCTGTGGCTCAAGTGGTAGAGTGCTGCCTTGAGTTGAAGAGCTGAGGGACAGTGCCCAGGCCAAGAGTTGGGGCCCCCTGACTAGGACCCCCCCCCAAAAAAAAGCTGGGCACTGGTGGCTCGTATCTGTAACCCTAGCTATTCAGGAGGCTGAGATCTGCGGTTCATGGTTCTATGCCAGCCCAGGCAGGAAAGTCTGTGAGCCTCTTATCTCCAATAAACTATGGCACTGTGGCTTATAAAGAGCACTAGTCTTGAGCAAAAAAGCTCAGGGACAGCACCCATACCCTGAGTTCAAGCCCCATGACCAACCCCCCCAAAAAAAATGAAGGAAAGAAAGAAATCCTACAACCAAGTGAGAAAAAAAAAATAAGAAACCCTAGTAGAAAGTTGAGCAAAAGACACAAGTTCTTCGCAAAAGTGGAAATGTGGTCAGTCTTAAGGTAATCAGAAAAATCACATTTAGAACACAATGAGATTCAGTTTTATGTCCCTAGGTTTGTAATGATCTTTACTTCTCACTCATTTTCTTCTCAGGTTTTTTTCATAGCAGATTTCAGTTATATTGTGCTTTCTTCTTGTTCCCCCAAATGCTCTTCTTTCTCTTTGCACATGGTTCTTCAAGTGTGGTCCCGACCAGCATTGCCTGCATCAGCTGTGTACTTGTTTGAACTGCAGCTGTACAGGCACCACCCCTGAGCTATCTTCAAGGATATTTGTGTACCAAATAGCTTTCTAAAATGATGGTTTCCTATACTCTTGTTTCTTTCCTTGATTACAACTCACTGTATGTGCGATCTCATCCGGCCTTTGTCCCATCACCCTGTGGAAACTGGCTTGAGGAACCAGTACAAGAAACTGATGGTGCTTTAGTTGTATTGCTTTTTCCATTGTTACATTTTTTTTTTCCATTTTGAAACTTAGATGTTCAGATACTCCTTAAAATATACCTATTAAGTTTTATTTCTCTTTCATTTACTTATTTATCAAACAAATATTTCTTTTTTTAATGCAAAGGTGATATACAAAGGAGTTATATAAGTCAGAAAATGAGTATATTTCTTTTTGAACTGTGTCACCCCTTCCCTTGTTTCCTCCCAGCTTCTTTCCCTCCCAACTCCCTCCCCATAAACAAATATTTCTATATGTTACTTTTAATTTTCTCAGATCGTGACACCTCTAGGAGCTGGGTTAATCCAAAGATGGCTGAAAGCAGTGGAAAAGAAAGAAATTGGACAACCACTGTTATTATTAGCTCATCTCTTAAGGTAAAGGGCATTTGGACCATTGGTCTTTAATTAAAACATTAAAAGCATCTTAATGTAGAGCAGTGTTTTTTAAGACTCTTAGCTTATTTATCTTCAGTTTTAGGAAACAAGAAGTAAATAAGTTATAAATTTTTTGCATCCATATTCAACATCCTACCTCCCTATGTCTTAGAAGGCTGGAAATTTTCTAAATTGTTTTTTTCTTTTTTTGGGGGGGGTCCAGTCGTGGGCCCTGAACTCTGGGCCTGGGCCTTGTCCCTCAGCTCTTCAGGTCAAGGCTTAGCGCTCTACCACTTGAGTCACAGCACCACTTCGGCTTTTTTCTTTTTGCTTATGTGGTGCTGAGGAATCAAACCCAGGGCCTCATGCATGCAAGGCAAGCACTCTACAACTGAGCCACCTTCCCAGCCCTAAATTGTTTTTTTTCTTAAGCTACTCTAATAAAAATGTTTAGAGGTTCTAGAAATGGGAAAACATAGGCACATCTATATTATTTAAGGTTTTTGTTTTGTATCATGATACCAGGTTTTCAGGTCCCAGGACCAAAGTCCAGGTGTCCCGAGTTAGGTCCATTTTTCAATAATAATGATTAGTTATTATTATTTAAAAATGATATAATTTCTAACATTTTATTGTTTTTTAGTGTTTGTTTCTTCACAGCTTATTTACTTATCTACTAATATAGTGAGATTTATTCTTTATGTTTTGTGCTGGTACTGGGGCTTGAATTCAGGTCCTGTGCTCTTGCTTGTCTTTTTTGCTCAAGGCTAATGCTCTCCCACTTGACCCACAGCTCCATTTCCATAAGACTTAATCATATTTTCATGGTTGCATTTATATACCTCTTCTATATATCAGATTCCTTTACATATTCTTGACAATGCTGGTTTAGTGGTTATAAATGTGTTTAAATTTTGTTTTATTATGGAAGGTTATTATTTTTCTATTTTTAAAGGATAGCTTTAATGTATATTGATGATCCAGGCAGTCAGTTTCTCCACTCCCACCTCCCCCGGAATACATCATTCTATGCTCTCCTTCTTTGAATGGTTGTTTTGAGAACTGTGCTGCTATTCTAATGGGTTTGTTTTTATATATTATTTGTTACTTCTCCCCTAAGCTTTCGATAATCTTTTTTTGTATACTTAATATCCTATATGATTATAGAGAGGTTATCTTCTTGTCTTGACTGTTTAGAGTCTTAAAGCTTCCTTTACCTGGATTACCATTTCTTTTTCAGGGTTTAGGAGATGTTCTGTTACTTTATTGAATGTGTTTTTCTTTGACTTTAGCTTTTACCTATTTTCTTTTTTTCTATGCCCATGATTTATAGGTTTGGTCTTTTAAATGGCATTCCAGAAGTCAAGCATGTTTGTAGTTTTTTTCCTCTCTATCTTGAATTAAATATTCTAGTACATCCTTGAAGAGAGTACAGATACCACAATCTATGTATACACACATCCATACATATATGAATCTCCGTGGACCTATTTCTATCATCTGCCTTATCTTTGTTTTGGCTTTTTTGGCCAGGAGGTAGAGGTAGGGGCTAGTTAATTGTTAAGAATCCCATAGACTTTCCTGCCCAGACTGCCTTTGAACCATGACTCTCAGATATCACCTCCTGCGTAGCCAGGATTACAGGTAACTAGCATTATAGGTGTAAGCCACTTGTGCCCAGCTCAAGCCCACAATTTGATCTTTTTTTTTTTTTTTTTTTGTTGGTTGTGGGGCTTGAACTCTGGGCTTGGGAGCTGTCCCTGCGCTCTTCAGCTCAAGGCGAGTGCTCTACTGCTTGAGCCACAGCACCACTTCCGGTTTTCTAATGTTTTATTGCAGATAAGAGTCTCATGGCCTCTTCTGCCCGGGCTGGCTTTGAACCACAATCCTCAGATCCCAGCCTCCTTCCTGAGTAGCTAGGATTACAGGCGTGAGCCACCAGCACCCGGCTCAATTTGATCTATTTTATTAGAGGGGTTTTCAGGCTTTTATTTGCTTTGTTGAGCTCTTTATATCTGGAATTTTAAGTTTGATTTTCTCCAGCATTTCTGTATCTGTGCTGTCCATTATCTTCTGGATTTCAGATCTCAGTGCCTTCACACCTCACCTTGCAGTTCAGTTTTCTGTGGAAATCTTGTAATTTAGTGGGGAAGAAGGGTGAGCTCAGGGCTCTTTCAGTCCCTGGCAGCTAACACACATAGCTAAGAGTCAGGTCCTGGAGTGTGAGTTCTCCGTCTATGGGCCAGGTGCTTTGTTTCTGCTGTGATACTCAGGTGAAAGGTCCTTCTCCTCAGGTAGCACAGGGCTTCTGTCCACTACCTGCCATGCTCCCTGCTGTTAAAACACATCAAGCCCTCTCCCTCTCCATTAGTAACTATCTTCTACCCAGACATGGTCAAGTACTCGGAACCTTACTTGTTCTTTATATTCAAGCTCCCACAGTAGTTCAATCTCAACTGTCACCTTTTTCAATATAACATTTTGCTATAGCTTTCCAAGTTAAGGGGAATGATAAAATTATGTCTTTTTTCATCAAAGCTAGCCTTCTACCTCACAGCCACAGTCTTACCAAATTTCACACTGGCCTTAAGGCTTGTGGGGAGTGTGGGCTTATTCTGTATCTAAAATTGCTAGTCTTGTTACCTTTTGCTATAAAGTAATATGTGTTATGTTACTATTTAAGCTTTAGGAAGTTTTTCTCTTAATCAGAAATTATGAAAAAAAATTCAGATGCATATCTTGTTTTATATGCTAAAAAGAATACAGGTGATATAATCTCATCTTCATTTAGACTAGTTGGTTGTTAGGATTTTTCTTCGTATTTAAAAAATTGTTTTGATAATATTTTCATGCCATTATTTGTAGTTTTCTCTTTCTATGGTATTTTTGAAGGGGTAAGTGATTTTCCTTTGCATTCTCCCTCTACACCTTTATTCCTTGTGTGCTGATGCAGTTACATAGTTTGGAAATTACTTGTACCTTAAGGTGAAAAGGAAATTTCCCTGTTTGGGGATGAAGCATAGTGGTTGGTCAGTTGCCTAGCATGTGTGAGGGATTAGGTCCAATTCCTAACATCCCAATAAAAGGGAGAGGGAAAGGGTTTTCCTATTATAAATTGTGCTTTGTAATCTTTTTAAGAAGTGTGGAGGGGCTGGGAATGTGGCTTAGTGGTAGAGTGCTTACCTAGCATGCATAAAGCCTTGGGTTTGATTCCTCAGTACCACATAAACAGAAAAAGCTGGAAGTAGCTCTGTGGCTCAAGTGGTAGAGTGCTAGCCTTGAGCAAAAGCAGCTCAGGGACAGTGCCCAGGCTGAGTTCAGGCCCCAGGACTGGCAAAAAAAAAAAAAAGAAGAAGTATAGAATACTAATAATTTTGGTGGTCTGTGATATTAGGTTTTATTCTTTGTTAAAAGTATATTTTAATTGTTATATTTTTACAAGTATTTACCTGTTACATATCAGTTAAATGTACATTGAACTCCATAAAATTCACCATTTTCTCAGTAAAATTTTTCATATCACAATACTTTCAAATTTCTAGTAAACTCTGGATCAGTTATTAAATGCCTTTTTTTTTTTTTTTTTTTGGTCAGTTGAAGTGCTTGAATTCTGGGTGCTATCCCTGAGCTCTTCAGCTCAAAGCAAGCGCTCTACCACTTGAGCCACGGTGCCACTTCTGGTTTTCCAGTTTTCTGGTGGTCAATTGGAGATAAGAGTCTCACGGACTTTCCTGCCCAGGTTGGCTTTGAACCGCAGTCCTCAGATCTCAGCCTCCTGAGTAGCTAGGATCAATGCTTTTTTTTTTTTGAAACTGTATTTTTTTTGTCTTTTTTGGTACTAGGGATCTAAACCCAGGACCTTGCTAAGCAAGTGCTTTGCCACTGAGCTATATCTCAGCCCTATTAAATGCCTTTTTTGTTGTTTAAATTTGTATTTCCTTTCATGTAAGTAGATTTCCTAAATCTACTCAGTTTTAAATGAAACTAGTATATATATGTAGGAAGGATTAATATGCTGGAATAGACAAGGATTATTTTTTAATGCTCTAGTGCATTGTAGATCTCCCAACAAAGACAAAATAATATCCAGTGGTTTTCAGGCTTTTCTGAATATATTATGCTCATGGAAGCATAATATATCTCTGGAAACCTATTTTGGAAAATAAAATCCTAACTTGTGGATTATTTGGATAAATAATTTCTCACACTTTCCCCAATTTCATACTTTCTGAATTTATTACTCTTATTTTGGTTGGATCCCCTAATAGGATGTAATTGAAATTCACTGGCATGGCATAGATAGGACTTCTTGTTCTGTTTGCAGTTATTCCTGACGTTGTTCCCGAGTTAGATGACTACAGCCTCCATACTCATCAACCAAGAATCATACTCAGAAGTATGAGTGCCTTTCCTTGTTATTTTGCCTATGCTCTTCTCACCCTTATCTCCTTGCCTTGCTTTGTCTGCTTGTTATAATGCTTTTTTTACTTTAAAGATCTGGCTCATCTTTTAGGAAGTGTTCCTGAGGTTCACATCTGTTACATCGTTTTGAAGTTTCTGGTTCTTTGCTAAAATATTCAGCCTTGTTTGTCATCTTCTTGAAAAGAGGAAGCGCAGATAACATAATCTATGTATCTGATATATATATATGACTCCTTCATGGGCCCATTTTTATCATCTATTATTTCTGGTGGTTTTCTTCCATGTACTATACCTTCTCTTTTTTTGTATGTTACATTCTTTTTTTTTTTTTTTTTTACTTTGTCTTGGAATGTAAAATTGTAGAGAGAATTTGAGGCTAATGTCATGTTATATTCCTTTAGAAAGTCTTTAATTCTGTGTATTACACAGTTTATATTTCAGGGGAGGGGTGTTTGTTTTTTGTTTTGTTTTTGGCTTGTCCTGGGTGTTGTCCTTGAACTCCTTTTGTTCAAGGCTAGCTCTCTACCACTTGTGCCACAGAGCCACTTCTGGCTTTTTCTGTGATTAATTGGAGATAAGAGGGTCATGGACTTTTCCTGCCTGGGCTGGCTTCAAACCACAGTCCTCAGATCTCAGCCTCCTGAGTAGCTAGGAATACAGGCGTGAGCCACCCGTACCCAGTTATATTTTTATTGTCTTTGGTTGTACAAAAGGGTTGTGATTCAACATGTCAGTTTGAGTACAAGGCATCTTGATCAATCTCACCGCCTTTTCATCTTTCTCCATATTACAGTGCCTAACCCCACCCCTTGCTTCATAGGATATGCATTGAATTTTAGGAATGTATTCTCTCCTCTCTTCTCTTCATTCATCTACACCTCCTCCCCTTTACATACACCTTCTCCACATAGCTTAAATATCAGCTTCCTGGCTTCCACTTGGACTGTGAGTTAGCTGTTCTAAGTTAACATCATTTGAATTCTATCCTGTAGATACCATACTTCAGCTAATAAGTTTGTGTACACTTGTATACAACTCCGTGTGTTTACATGTATACTTACAAATTAGATCTAACTTCCACATATGAGAGAAAACATGTGTCCTTTGTTTTTCTGAGCTTGGCTTTCTTTATTCAACATCTTTTCCAGGCCCATCCTTTTCTTTGCAAATAATATGATTGTCCTGCCTAATAAATGAGTAAAATTCCATTGTCTATATAGAATTATTCTCTTAATACTCTTTGCTAGATAAAAAGTTTGAATTTCAGATGAGCAATTTTTAATGTGTCTAAAATATTGCATAGGATATATTTATTTTAAAATTATATTTTTTGCAATTCAAATTTAGCTGGATGATGTATGTATTTTTATTTGTTAAAATGGGCTATCCAAGTGTCTGTAGTTTATTTTTAATGAAATGCCTGATGGCCCTAGTTATGGATAACAGAGAAAATAGTAATTATCTTTGTTCTGTAATTCAGCACATCTGCTTGAGAAGACTTGATTGAGGAAGGCTTCTTGAAGAATGCTTCTGCAAGGGGCAAAGGAGTGCTAGTAATTCAGCATCACCTTAGCTCAGCTTCAGAGATTGAAATGGTTTGAAGCTGGGCTGCATTCCCTGTGAGAGCTGCTCTACTTTTGTCAAAAGCTCTGTTCAACCTCTGTTCTGCCTCTCCCTGAATTGGTAGGCACCCTCAGGGAAGAGATGGCCTAAATCCTGTGGTCAGAGCTTTGAATGTCTGTATAGATCTTAGCCTTATAATTTCTATCACACTAGCTCTCTGATGTATTCAAGCAGATTTGTTTCGGTTGTCTAGGTTTTCAAGTTGCCTTCAGCAGGAAAGTTGGCCTAAATTACTTAATCCTGAAAGCAACATATAACTGTAAAACTATATAAAAGCTATATTCTAATTACTAGCTAGAATTAAGCACTGCAGAATACTCTTTAAGAAGCCTGCTTTTTATATGTGCTTTTACACTATGTGCTTAAATCTGTTCTGCAGAAAAAAAAATTAGTTTACTTAAGGTATTTTTATTTATGGAGAAACTAACAAGATTGAGTTTTTGTCCATTAGGAAATATTAACCACTTAGATTTTAGTGTCCTGATTAATATAGTTGCTTGGGTAGAACAGTGAGGCAGTTTGTTGTAATGGTTAGTATTGAAACAAGACAACAGTAATAATATCTTGTCTGGGGGCTGGGAAGGTGTCTCAGTGGTAGAGCACTTGCCTTGCATGCATGAGGCCCTGGGTTCGATTCCTCAGCATCCCATAAGCAAAAAGAAAAAAGCTGGAAGTGGTGCTGTGGCTCAAATGGTAGAGTGCTAGCCTTGAGCTGAAGAGCTGAGGGACAGCGCCCAGGCTCAGAGTTCAGGCCCCACGACCGGACCTCCCCCCACCTCCTGCCCCCAAAATCTTTGTCTGCATTTTCTGGATTACCTTTTATGTTTGGGTTTTCTTTGGGGGGGGGGGTTAACTATTTTTTTTTCGTCTTTTCTTTTTTGGTACTGGGGATTGAACCCAGGATGTTGCACTTGCTAGGCAAATGCTTTGCCACTGAGCTACATCCCAACCCTGGATTACCTTTTAAAAGCATGTTAAAGTAATAGTAAACAGATGAATTAGAGGATTGGTTATTGCCTATGTGGTATTCTCTGTGCATAGCACTTCATGTGGTTTCTATCAGCCATCTAAGAAACACAATACATCACATTTCCACAATTATACACTGATTTATCTCAAGTAATACTATGTAAAGTAGTATTTTTTTCAAAAGTATTCATTTTCCCTGGTTCTCATAGTTTAATTCTTTAATGCCATTGAGTAATTTCTGTCCCTAACAAATATAACTAAAGTACATGAACTTATTTCCAAATTCCAATCAGTGGGAATATTTTGCTCTTCTTCATTTTCAAAGTGTTTTCTGAAAGATTGTTTCTTTTGATGAACAATCTTTAGTACTTACAAAAATAAGCCAGTACATGTTTTTTGTTCACTGTCATAAAAATTACTGTAAGCATGTCTTAAGTTTGTATTTCTGAAAATTCTTTTGAAGAGCTATGAAATTTCAACTGCCCTAGAAAATCGAAGCTACAAGGTTCGATATTCAGATTCAGTGGAAGACGGATTAGTTATATTTTCTCGTTCTGGTACAGTATATTTGTCATCTGCCTTTGTTCTAGTTTCTTACAAAGTATGTGCACAAAAATGATAACTTTTGCAATTCAGTAACCATGTAACAGCTTATGGTGTTTTATGAGACCTGTTTTAGAAGTACATGTGTTTCGTTGTTGCTGCTGCAAAAGTAGTACATTATGGCCAGTTACAGAATATATTCCTTTTTTGGTTAGAATGCTAAAATAGAGCTGAGCCAGTGAATCTAGCAGTGGAAAGAAAAAACATTGTTTGGAATCAAGATGAAAATAGAAAAAGTTACTATCTCTTAACAACACTAAAGTATTAACTTTATTAACAGAGGGCAATGTTACATCATTAATCAACAGTTACATACAAAAACAATATATGGAATTTTTCTTGTTTTGTATGAGTTAACTGAAAGATATAAGCAAATACTGTAAAACTGTATAGAAACGAATGTTCCTGAAATCATAAAACTATATTTAAATCTTGGGTTAAGGGCAGGAAGTGTTAGATTAAGAGAAGATTAGGACATGGAAAGTAATAGAAGTGATAGAAGGTGGAGGTGAAAGGGTTTATCAGGAGGGCACAAATCACCAGGCTGAGCTTCCTCCCACATATTTTAAGGTGCTATAATTAAATCAAGTTTCCTTTCAGGACCATTCTGATAGGCCCAGTGCTATTTCAGAGCCACTTGATATCTGCTCACTGAGTGCATTTATGATTCCTATGTCCTGGGAGAGAGGTTTCTTCAAGAAATGATCAAAGATGTAAGACTACGGAGCTTCTGAGATGCTTATCACATGCAAGTGTCCAGAAGTAGGCCCAGAGAGGAAAATGGAACCCCATACCCCTTCCCGGGGAGCCACTCCCCATGCCTCTCTTCTGACTTGTTCCCTCTGCAGTCCCTTTCTCACAAGTCAGTATAGGTTTTCAAAAAGATTTTAATACAACAGGCTAACTTTTAGCTGTATTAAACACTTTATTGAAACCAATGCAACATAGCAAGGCCAAAAATACACAAGAACATCTAGAATATTTTATCTAGAATACAGAAAGTAAAATGTGGAATTAAAATGACAAATACAAGGTGATCTAGAAGTTATATTAGACAAAAGTATTTTCATTTTGAGAGACAATCCCTGGTCAAATACCATATCCTCAAATTCCAGTCTGTAAATTCCAGTCTGTTTCTAAGAATATACTTCTTAAGCTAGAAAAAGGAGGAAAATTCCTTTGATTAGATGATCATCCAGCAATTTTTGCAGCTAGACATGTATCTCATGCCTATAATCTTAGCTACTTAGGATGATAAGATCTAAGGATGATAGTTCAAAGCCAGGCTGAGCAGGAAAGTCTGTGAGACTCCAGAAAAAAAAGCCAGAAGTGGAACTGTGGCTCAAGTGGTAGAGTGCCAGCCTTGCATAAAAGAGCTAAGGGACAGTGCCCAGGCCCTGAGTTCATACACCTCTACAGGAACACACATACACAGACACACACACATAAAACATAGTCTTGATACTAAAGTTAGGCGTTACTTTCATATGGCTAGTGCCTTAGTCTGAGAAAAAAAACTAATAACTGACCAAAATGGGCTTCCCTTAAATAGTTAGAATAAGTCATTCTTTGCTAGACACTTCAGAGGACTACCTAAGTTGTTTACTTGTATAAGAATTATGATAGTAATTTTTACTCCTTGAGTTTAGGGTCTGGATGCTTTTTTGTTATATTTTTATTGACTTTGTTGGGTTAAGAAATTTTTCTTTATATGACAAACTGACTTTATATTGCATCTACCTTTCCTAGGAATTGCATTTTTATTGATGGATGCTAATGAATGTATTATGTCAGCTGAAGAAATATTTCTAAACAAAATTGAGAAGTTTATTAGTCTTCACCGAAATAGTTTTTTGGTTCTGTCTGCTACACTCCATGGGCCTCAGGAATGGGAACTGATGTTCAGGATTCAGCAGAGGTAGGGAAGAATAGCACTATGGACTTATTTTTCATATTATGTTATTTGTTTTCAATTATTTTAGGTTTTATTTTGCTAGAAGGTAAACATAATATAAGCTTTCATATTTAATGAAACATAGTTACTCTGTGAATCAGGATGGCTAGAGTTCATGTTGATTTATGGGCCTCTCCTGTTAAGACCAAATGAAATGAATACTTTTTCTGTCATTTAAGCGCCATAGACATCTCAGATCCTCTAAAGCATAATGCAGGGCATGAATGATTAAACAAACAACTAATAAAAATGTTTTTAAAAGAAAAATGATCTGTATAACAATTTTTTTTCAGATTCCTGGGAAGTAACTTACGGATCCTTCCAGTACACAACATAGTAAATGCTATTAATATTATGTGTACTATAGCTAAGGTAAGTCACTGGGGAAAAGTCATTCATACACAAATATTTGTTTCTTACTTCAAGATGTATAAACTCTTAGCAGGATTGTCAAATATCCTGTTTCTGTTTACTCCAGAGAAGTTATGTTTTATGCATGTAACGCTCTCAAGCCTGAACTCAATCTCTCAAGAGTTCTTAATTTAGCTATCCATTTGCTTGTGACCAAAAGAACTTTCACCAATTACATGATTATGCTGGTCCTTTTCCTTCAAATTCTGAAGTATAAACATTGCTCAGATTGCAGTCATGAGCCATCTGGGCATAAACATTTTATGGAATGTTCTTCACTAGTTGTTGACTTTTTATTCAGGCTTATCTTCCTTTGTGCCCAGACACCCCAACTCTCCTAGGCACAGTTAGGTGTTCTTTATTCTACCCTTGGAACATGTCCTGTTGAAGCATTTAGAATGCCATTCTACCTTTTTGGCTTACACGTTTGAAATTCCTTGAAGATGGAGAACAGGTGTTTTCCTCTCCATACTCTAGCATACACATACTTCTTAGCATATAGACATCAAAGAGATATTTGCTGAATAAAGGTTTTTTTAATGTGATTCTGAAAAAAATTGTTTCTGTGAATAATGCTATGTTTATATCTTCTTATAGACTACCTCTAAACCAAACATAGACACCATCTGCTATAGAATGATAATAACTAAAGCTTACATCATAGAGCAAAGCCCTGTTTGGAAAACACTTCAAAAGATAAAACTGAGTAGCGATTCAATTAGCCCAAACTAAATGTTAGTGATTCAATTAGCCCAATTATAAATGTTTTCTTTTGGAAAAATATTAAAGTTGTCTGTTACTATTGTTCAGATATGTGTTTAAAATGTTTATATTAAATAACGTGTACAAGTAAAAGTGATTTTAGGAGTTCTGTCTGGTAATTCTTTTAATATTTAGAAAATAATTGGTACAGGACCTGGGGGAAAATAGCACTTGCCTAGCACACTCCCCAACACAGAAAAAAGAAAAAAGGGAGAAAAGAAAATAATTGGTACATGCATATAAAATTCATGTAGTTTCTTTATTTTTGGGGGGGAGGGGGTTGGTCGGGGCTTGAACTGAACTCTGGACCTGGGTGCTGTCCCTCAGCTCTTCAGCTCAAGGCTAGTGCTCTACCACTTGAGCCACAGCGCCACTTCTGGTTTTCTGGTGGTTTATTGGAGATAACAGTCTCACAGACTTTCCTGCCCGGGATGGCTTTTAACCGAGACCCTCAGGTCTCAGCCTCCTGAGTAGCTAGGATTACAGGTATGAGCCACCAGTGCCCAGCTCATTTAGTTTCTTTCTTTCCTTTTTTTTTTTTGGGGGGGGGGGTCCGGTCGTGGGGCCTGAACTCTGGGCCTGGGCACTGTCCCTTAGCTCTTCAGCTCTCAGCTAGTGCTCTACCACTTGAGCCACAGCGCCACTTCCAGCTTTTTTTCTTTTTGCTTATGTGGTGCTGAGGAATCGAACCCAGGGCCTCATGCATGCAAGGCAAGCACTCTACCACTGAGCCACTTTCCCAGCCCTCTTTCCTTTTTTTTTGTATATATTTTTATTGTAAAAATACTGTACAGAGGGGTTACAGTTGCATGAGTAAGGTAATGAGTCTGTTTCTTATGGAGCATTGTTACCCCCTCCTTTGTTTTTCCCCTACCATACCTTCCCTCTCCACCTCTCCAACTCCTCCTCCCTCTACCCAAAGCGTAAAGTTCATTTTCAACATAGTGTCTTGGACATCTCATTGTTACAATGGGTCAACCTGTATCATTATTTCAGTATTTTGTTATTTCCTTTCCCCTCCCCAAATTAGAAAAATATATATACAAGATGCAGGGCACTAGAATCAATTATAGTGAAAATGGGGGTTATACCATGGGGGAAGAACATACAAAAGAAACAAAAAAAATCACATAGTCCATTATAAATACATTAAAAACAACAGCAAGAAAGATAAAACCACTTGTGTCCCTATCTTGGTGTTCATTTCACTTAGCATCATCTTATGTGGTCATATGTACATAGCTTTTGACCTTTTCTGCTTGTTCTAAACTTATAGTAGAAACCCTACTGTATTGTTATTGTTGGTGGAAGTATAAATTTGTTCAGCCACTTTGGAAAGCAGTATGGAGGTTCCTCAGAAAACTCCGCATAAAGCTCCTCTGTGACCCAGCAGTCCCACCTTTGGGCATTTACCCATATGACCACAAACAAGACTATACTAAAGCTACCAGCACAACTATGTTTATTACAGCATTAGTTACCATAGCTAAGATACGGAACCAACCTAGATGCCCCTCAGATAAATGGATCAAGAAAATGTGGTTTATATATACAATGGAATTCCGTGCCTCCATCAGAAAGAATGATATTGCCCCATTTGTTAGGAAATGGAAAGACTTGGAAAACCAATGATATTAAGTGAAGTACATCAGGCCCAAAGAAACATAGGTGCCATGGTTTCCCTTATTTTAAATAACTAGTATATGTCTAGGACAAGCAGAAAAGGTTAAAAGCTATGTGCATATGATCATGTAGTTTCTTAATGCTACAAATTCAGTTGGATCTTTACATATTTATCAGGAAATAAAAATACAGCATTTTCTAATTAGTTTCCTGGACTAAAGAAACTGTTTTCCACAATGGTAGCCAGTACTCTATAGCTAATCTTTGCAGGTACTTGCATATTGCAACTTCTAGAGACTCTATTCTGGGACTCTATTCCTTAAGACTTATCCAAAGATATGGAAAGGAAGAAAACTAGTTAACTGACATGAACTTAAAACTTCTATCCTTTTACAGTAGTGTGATATACAATAGGACATTAATTGAGGTGGAGAACCTTTTTTCTGCCAGCGGCCATTTGGATATTAATAGCATTGCTTGAGGATCATACAAAATCAGCAATACAGGCAGGTGGGCCATGGCAGCCAACAAAAAAAAGCCTATATGCCTGTCCACTTATGTGCCAAATGATTTCGTTCCCCACCCCTGCTTAAAAAGAGTTCTAAAATGTTACAGAGCACCCAACAGTGTCCAGTTTTTATAAACATACAAGTCTATGAATAAAACATTTCAATTATAATTTATGAAATTATAACACAAAAATTACTAATTTCTATAGGATTTGCAAAAGCATTTTAGCTTTTTAAGACCAAAGAATATTGCTGTTGTTATAGAAACTGACAAGTGAGAAAAGCTGAATTTTTCCTACCAGGACATTTTTCTTAGGAAATTTGTTGTTACAGTACTAAATAAGGCATATGGAAAATACTGTATTTTAGTAGTTTTTATTTAGTAAAAAGAACTTTTATTTTATTCCAACATCTTCGGAGGTAGACTTTGTTTTCATTTCAATAAGTTCTTCTACCCGAGCCAGAACACTTTCAATCAAATCAAATGTGAAAAGAGCTGAATGGAGGACCTGCAATGCCAAAAAAAATTACAGTCACTATTGCCTAGTTATTTCAAGACGGTCTGATTTTGTAATCCAGGCTGGCCTTAAACTTATGATCCTTGTGCCTTAGCCTCCCAAGGGCTGGGGCTATAGGCATATGCTACTGTGTCAGTGTTAATACTGCCTTTAAAATAAAACAAAAGCCTTTAAGCTGGATATAGCTAAAACAACAACAACAAAACAAACTAGATCACCTTAAGTTGCATTTCAGGAGGCATATTAGGAATCTCTTCTCCACTTACAGTTACAGAACAAAAATTCTGCGATTTCTGGACTGCTGTAGAAGAAAAAATGTAACATTAACCATTAAAACAACTCGCAGATTCTCATAATAGATTTGATAAGCTATTGTGATCATTCACTAACTTTAAAATTGTTTTTTAAAATTATTGAATCATATTAACAGCTCAAGAATTTAAGTCATACTATAAACAAAATTAAATACATCAATTCTGCAACTTGTGAATTCTTAGCATTTTGGTATGTGTAGGAAATTTTTCCCTTAAGTACATAATCGGAAATAATAGCCATAATTTTTTGGGGGGGGAGGTCGGTCGTGGGGCTTGAACTCTGGGCTTGGGTGCTGTCCCTGCGCTCTTCAGCTCAAGGAGAGCGCTCTACCACTTGAGCCACAGCGCCACTTCTGGTTTTCTAGTGGTTTATTGGACTTTCCTGCCCAGGCTGGTTTTGAACCATGATCCTCTCCTCAGATCTCAGCCTCCTGAGTAGCTAGGATTACAGGCGTGAGCCACCAGCGCCTGGCTAGCCATAATATTTTTTTTAAAAAGACAAAATTCCAAGTAAATAATGCTTACATGAACATATGCACACAGTTGACTTTATAAAAGTCATCCTGGAATCTGAGTCCAAGATTCTTTTTTATAATGTGTAAGAACTTGACACTTTGAAACTATACATATCAATTTGATTTAAATCTTTGTTGACTCATTTTCAGTATTTCAGATCTTCTACTTTAATTATAAATAAAATGGTAGCTGTCACTGTCCCATACTCATTTGGCATAAATTGAACATGTAATAAATTTTTATTTTGAATACAACTATATATAAATTTTTATATAAAATTTGAATAAATTTTAACACTATTTGAAAATAAAATGACCAACCTTGGGTATTTTTTTGGCTGTTTTTAATTTCTGCTTCATAATGTGCTTTTGACATATTAAGTCCTGTATGAAGTGGCTTTAAAAATTTATTCTTAATGTTTCCAAGTTCTGTCCACAATCCAGTCTGTTCAGAAGAATTAATGAAAGAATGTTATTTGAGCCAACACTAATGGTGGCTACTATTCTAAACACACACTGACAGTGGAAGACACAAAGAGCAAGAAATGTGCTTCTTCCTTTTTAAGACATTTTCCTACTTAAATAATTACTACATGTAGCAGTATTTTTGTCTTGATTTTTTTATCATTAAGTAGTTGTATAAAAGTTTCAATTCTTCATGGATATTTATATACCATATCAAAACATATACACAGACACTGTGTTCATTACTGTTCCATAGGGTTAGCTTTTTTTTTTTCAAGGTTCATAAAATTACGTGGTATTAATTCATGCAGTTTGAAACATTTTCCTTCTATAAACCATCCCCAAAATGACTACTTTAATTATACTTTCCACACTTCAGGTCTAGATCTAGCAGACTGGTGCTTTTCCTATTGATGGGAAGTTTTATAACACAAAGCTGATTTGAACTTTCTTGGTGACCAGTGATAATGGAGACTTTATCTGTCGTGGATAGCTTAAGGGTTATTTTTATGATTTTATATGAGAAGGTTTGATTTCAAGATTATTTACAGTACTAAAGGAGAAGAGTAAAAGTATTGATTTTCAATGCTCTACTATAGCTGGAAGTACAGTTCAGTGGTAGAATGTGTACTTACCATGCATGAGGTCCTGAGCTTAATGCCCCATGCCAAAACGAAACAAATAATAAAGCTACAGTAATCAAGACATAAAGTAATCAAGGTATAAAGAAAAAGATCTAAGAACATGGAAACATCCTCCTCCCAATCAGCCTTCCAAGTAGCTAGCATGACATGTGACTTTCGCTTTTTCTTTTCTATGTTTATCGTGGTGTATTAGTTGCTATCTTAAAAAAAATTTTTTTTGTATATCTAGTTTCTTTTGGGTTTGCTGGTGTTAAATCGTTTTGTGTTTCTACCCTAGGGATTGAGGACTGAGCCCTCAAGGGAAGCCAGATGGGGACAGTGCAAGCTGCCATCCCACCTATTTGGGAGGTGGAGGCAGGAGGGCAGGAAGGTTAGCACTTTGAGACTAGCCCAAGCAAATGTAGCCACTGGCACTCAGCCCACATTGTTTTATTAAGGGCACAATTAAGCATCAAATCTACAAATCTGTGGTATAGAAAAGGGAGCTAAGATACAAAGGAATAGTAAAGAAAACCTATTGAATGAAGGTATAGCAGAAAATTTCCCAAATCCAGGGAAATGGATATCCAAGCATATGAGACAAATATAACCCAAAGTAGACAGCACCAGAATTTATATTCCACATATTATAAAATATCAAGAGTACAAAACATAAAATGTATAATACAAAATAAGTACCAAGTTACTTACAAAAAGTTCACCACAGTAAAACACTTAAGGCCAGGAGAACAGAGAATGATGATATTTTGAGCTTTAGAACAAAATGACAACCAGGACTACCATCCTTTAAAGTTGAAGTAAAAATAAAATCCTTCTTTGATAAACATGAACTGAACAATTCATCTAAGAAGATGCTTTAACAGTACACACAGAAGATGAAAAAAGAGACAGTGAGTAGAGGTGAGGAAAAAAAACTCACTAGAAGACTAGAATAACAAATGGCAAGATAGAACAAACATAATTAACTCAGTAAACCAGCAAACCTCCAAGATAAATAGGGAGAAATTAGTACATTTCAGTAATAAACCTACATGACAATAGTAAAAGACACAGACTTCTTGAATACATCAAAAAATAATATCTGACAGTTTGCTGTCTCAAGAAACACTTTAATGGCAAATATACATAAAGACTGAAAGGATGGAAAATTATATTCCAAACATAATACAGCCTCCAGAGTAGCTAGGATTACAGGAGAGCCACCAGCTGAGATCTGAGGAACTAACTTAGTTCAAAGCCCAGCCTGGGCAGGAAAGTCCGTGAGACTTATCTCCAATAAACCACCAGAGAATACGAAGTGGCATTGGGGCTTAACTGGTAGAGCACTCACCTTGAGTTGAAGAGCTCAGGGACAGTACCCAAGCCCCACGACCAACAAAAAAAAACCCCAAAAACATACAAAAGAAAGACAAACCTCAATCCGAACCCAGAGAAGGTAGAGACCAATAAATAACCACTCCATCAAGAATATACAACAACTAAAGAAAATACTGTATGATCCAGCTATATAGTATTTCTGGGTACAAACTCCAAAACATCAATGTCAGCTACTGTAGAGAAACCTCATGTTTAAGACAGCAGTATTCACTATAACCAAGTTATAAAATCAGCTTAGGTGCCCATCAATGGATAAATGGATAAAGTTAATGCTTACATAATTGAGTACTACTCAGGATCAACTAAAATAACACAAATGATGTAACTTTTAGAAAAAGGAATGGAATTTCAGATCATTATAATCCAGATCAAAAAAACAAATTTCTCATTTTCTCTTGTATGAAATCTAGATTAACACACACAGACACACAAAGAAGTAGAAGAGGACCAAGGAGAAGGAGAAGATGGCACAGTAATGGGGGGGGGGGGGGGAGAAATACTATCAAAGTTGTATATAAAAATTATATATGTAGCCAAAAGTTATATGCATATATGGAAATATCAGAATGAAACCCATTATTTCCTAATAATAGATAATAATAAAAGAAAAAATTGGAGAGGGATAGAGGTATGCAATTGATTGGAATACATTACAACTATGGAAATGTAACAGTGAAATCCCCACTGTATAACGTAAGCAAATAGTAAGTAAATTGGAAAATCTGTATTTTGTTCCTTAAGTACCAATGTAGGTGCATCCCACAAGTTTTAATACGTATCATTTCATTATTTTACTCTAAATATAGTTAATATTTTCACTTATTACATAACTCATAAAAAGACTATATAATATATGGAGGTTTTCAACTTTCACTGTCTTAGTTAAAAATGTAAATTTCTAGCTAGGGGCCAATGATTTATGTCTATAATCCTAGCTACTTAGGAGGCTGAGATCTTAGGATAGAGGTTCAAAGCCAGCCTAGGCAAGAAAGTCCATGAGAGTCATCTCCCATTAACTACCAAAAAGCTGAAGGCAGAGCTGTGGCTTGAGTGGTAGAGAGCTAGCCTTGAACACAGAACTCAGGGACAGTGCTCTAAAATGACACCATCCAATGGCACTGAAAAACTGAGTAATTTGTAAAATTTTTAATCAGTTTAAAATTTCAATGATCATATATGGCTATTGTCTATTTTAATGGACAATACAAAACTAGAAAGTCTTTAAATATTGAAGCCTTAATTTACAGTCTGTAGTCATAAAACTTCAATAAAAATGTATGCCAAAATTAGGCTAACAAAAGTTGGTTACACATCCTATTCAGCATCATTCCACACATCTTTCATATAATGAACAATTATATTTTTAGAATCATGTAGGAGTAAAGAAGCTGTGGAAATAATCTTTTCCTTTTGTCATACATTAAGGTTAAGATCTTTTAAAAAATTACAAAGAAAACCATTTAAAGATTTCTTTCATCTTAACTTTCTAAAAAAATAAGATTTTTTTTTAAAAAAAGCATTATCAGGATTAAAATTTGGAAATATTCACAAATGCTCTCTCTTAATTTAGATTCAGATGTAAAAATTTTGAAATGTTTTCCATTCTAAGGCTGAACTGTACATTTCAAGATTCACTGAAGCCTGTCTCACAAAAAGAACAGTAGGATTTCCTAGCCACAATGAAGTTTATTAGCAGAAAAGATAAGACCCTTGCAAGGACAGTCACCACTGTAACGACAGATTTAAAGTCAGAAACAAAACCCAGCTTGCCCTGTTCTCCTGTGTGTAATTTAAAAACTTTTGTTAACCTGAAGTCATGGCTATGCAGATACATACAAAGGAATTTTATTTTTATTTTTATTTTTTTTTGCTGGTCGTGGGTCTTGAACTCTGGGCCTGGGTGCTGTCCCTCAACTCTTCAGCTCAAGGCTAGCGCTCTACCACTTGAGCCACAGCACCACTTCTGGCTTTTTCTCCTTATGTGGTGATGAGGAATCGAACCCAGAGCCTCATGCATGCAAGGCAAGCGCTCTACCACTGAGCCACCTTTCCAACTCCTTTATTTTATTGCTAAAATAAGTTCAGAACTTATACTTCTAGCTCTTGGGAAGAATGGATAATATAGAATTGTATGTATATGTATGATTGCAAGGTATTTGTAGTTCTCTCCGTTACATGAAAAAAATAACATGCATGCATTAGTTTATTTTTTAAAGGATTCTTGATACTTCCTGTGGTCTTTGCAATTTCATTGTTGTCACTGAGCCTGCTTTCACTGTACATATTCCAATTAGAAATTATGTAGGAAAAACAACAGGCAAGCAGGTTGATGAGAAAGGATAGCATTAGACAAGATAGAAGGTAAGGAGTACACCAAGTATGGACTGAGCATTAGAATACTGAAACACTATCAAGACACCCATTAGTGGAAAATACCAGGTATAAAAGCTAAGTTGGTTTTAACATTAGAGATGGAGTGTGTTGATAAGATTCAAGAAAAGTTATATGAAAATTAAGTGTAGAGAAAGTGCCTCTCACTTAGGCAGGGAGAGAAAGGCATGAAATAGCAGAGCAAGGAAAATGAATGGCTTAGGAAAAGAGTAAGTCTGATGACAGTAACTCAAATGGCAGGAAAAGAAATGATTATTCAATTATGAACCATTTTATTGTCTCTTTATTTGAATGGGTCTGTTCCCCGTACTAATTTTCAGCTGCTCATCTGACTAGCTAGTTATCTTTTCAGCACACTTAATTGGCCAAAAATAGGAACTGGTAGGAGTCTCTTTGGATGAAATGCCCCACAATTCAACATCACCAAGGAATAATTTCCTCTTTTCACAAGTTTCTAGAAAATCAGAACTAACTTACTTTCTCCTTCCTTCCCTCCTTCCTCTCTCTCTTTCTCTCCCTTCCTTCCTCCTTTCTTTCTTTCTTTTCTTTTTTCTTTTCTTTCTTGTTGCTAGATGGATTGAGCCAAGGCTTTGTACATGCTAATAACCATGCATTCTTAAGTGAGCCCACAGCCTCAACTCTGAATTACAGGTGTGAACCCTCACGCCAAGCTGGACACTGTCATTTTTTGATGACCCATAACCTCTGATTTATTAGTGATCTACTTTAATTGTACCTGGGAGAAATGTTTTCATGATGGACAGGCAGGGTCTTATGCAACCTCAAAGATGTTAGTTGTTACTATAGACTAGAATTGTTGCTTATTTATACTGTGGAAATTCTTAGGATTTATGTGGTAAAATGTGGAATATTTAATTCCTAATAACTTCTCATTCTCCAATCCTGCCCCTTCCCCCACTAGCAGTACTGAGAATCGAACTCATTGAGCCCAAGGCAAGCTTTCTACCATTTGAGCCATGCCTCCAGCTCCTTTTTGCCTTGTTTCTGTGGTAGGATCTTGTTTCTGCTCAGGCCAGCCTAGTGTGTGATCCTTCTACTTATGCTGGAGATGACAGGCATGCACTACTACACACAGCAATTGGTTGAGATGAAATCTTTTGAACTTTATTCCCAGGCTGGGCAGACCTAAATCCCCTGATCTCTACCTTCCAAGTAGCTATATTACAGGCATAAGCCATTGCCGCTGGCCCTAGAAAATAATTTTAAGACCATTAAAAAGACATACCAGGTGGTCTCACACCTGTAATCCTAGCTACTCAAAGGCTGAGATCTGAGGATCATGGTTGAAAGCCAGCCCGGGCAGGAAAGTCCATGAGACTCTTATCTCAATATACAACTTAGAAAAAGATGGAAGTGGCACTCTGGGCACCAGAAAAACCAAAACCAAAACAAAAAATCGATATACTAGTATAATCCTTCCTATCTGGGAGGAAAAGAGTTGGAAGATCATGGGTCAAGACCACCCTAGCAAAAAAAAAAAAAAAAACCAGTTCACAAGTCCCATCTTAACCAACTACAAATAAATAAACACAGCTGTCACACAGTTATCATTCTTGCTCTATGGGAAGTATAAACAGGAGGACCTAAATCCAGACCAGCTTGGAGGTAAACAAGACCAATTCAAAAACTTTAGTTAAGGGCTAGGAGAGTAACTCCAATGTTAGAACACCGGCTTAAAATCCTACTATATCAAAAACAATTTTTTAAGGTGTGTCTATTAAACAGGTATTTTTTTCCTTCACATCAAATGAAGTGACACATTATTTGTGGACATCAAAGCAGACCTTACACGATGCTACAACTGTCGGGTCTTCCCTCTCCAAGCACAGACCAATGTGCTACACCCTGTGTGACTCTACGCTTGCACCCAGTACATCCATCTTGACATTGTTAAGCAAATCAGATCCTGTCTTACGTAGTACTGCTTTTCTCATTACTAAAAAAAGTAAAAGCCACGTCTAACCCTAAGAACACCTTCCCAAGAACACAAGTCCCTTCTGGTCTTACGTTGTCCCTTTTATGTTTTTACAAGCTCCTGGAGAAGTCAGGATTTAAGTTGTGATTTCAAAAGTTCTGGCCACTCTGGGGTGACATCTCTTTCTACCACTTTCTAGGTCTTTTGAAAATCATTGTTCCTTCTTATGCCTACATTAATCGATGAAAAGGGGAAAATAGAGTCGTTCGCTTCAGTATTATGAGCCCCTGGCCAGAAGAGCAGTTACCTTTCACTGAGATGGGGTGGAACTGTTCCTTTGGAACTAACTGGATGAGGGAGTGAGAGGGCTTCCTGTGAGGATGGAAGTGTTCTATACTGAATAAACCTATTCATCTGTGGAAACTCAGTGAACATACATTTTAAATTTTGCACTTGATTTTATATAATTTTTTTTGGGGTGGGGGGCAGTCCTGGGGCTTGAACTCAAGGCCTGGTCACTGTCTCTGAGCTTCTTTTGCTCAAGGCTAGCGCTCTATCACTTGAGCCACAGCATTGCTTCCAGCTTTTTCTGTTTATGTGGTACTGAGGCCTCAAACCCAGGGCTTCATGCATGCTAGGCAAGCATTGTACTACTAAGTCACCTTCCCAGCCCTATAAATTTTTTTTTTTTTGGCCAGTCATGGGGCCTGTACTCTGGGCCTGGCACGGTTCCTCAGCTCTTCAGCTCAAGGTTAGTGCTCTACCACTTGAGCCACAGCCCACTTCTGGCTTTTTCTGCTTATGTGGTGCTGAGGAATTGAACCCAGGGCCTCATGCATGCAAGGCAAGCACTCTACCACTGAGCCACCTTCCCAGCCGAGCCCTATAAATTTTAACTCAGAAAAACTATTGACAAGCCGGGTGCCGGTGGCTCACGCCTGTAATCCTAGCTACTCAGGAGGCTGAGATCTGAGGATTTCAGTTCAAAGCCAGCCTGGACAGGAAAGTCCGTGAGACTCTTATTTCCAATAAATCACAGAATACCAGAAGTGGTGCTGTGGTTTAAGCGGTAGAGTTCTCGCCTTGAGCTGAAGAGCGCAGGGACAGCGCCCACGCCCAGAGTTTAAGCCCCACAACCTACAAAAAAAAAAAAGAAAAACTACTGACATTAACTCTACTGAAACATGCACTGAAATATTTGGGGCAAAGTATGTTGATGCCTGCAGCTTACTTTGAAATGCACTGAGAGGGCTGGAAGGATGGAGGATGCAGGGGTGAGTACATGATGGAACGAGGAGTCAAGTGTAGGATCTAGGAGTTAGGGAAGTCACTGTAAATAGCTTTCTGCTTTCTATATATTTCAATTTTTTTCACAACAAATTTTGAAACAAAAACCAGGCTCAAAATAAGCAATACTCAAACATTAGCATATAGCTATTTTTGGCCAGAGAGGGACAAACAAGTAACTTAATCTACAGATCTGTACTTTGCCCACATACTTTGCCCCAAATCCTGACTTAATTTTTAAAACTCCCTTTGGTATCTTTACATAAAACCATTTACTTTCACTCTTTCTATCACTCAAACACAGGTTTAACATCACATGATTCAAGTGGTTATAGTTAATAGAGGTGACAAATACAGGGAAAGCAATTATTACAAAGGGTTGGTACAAAAGAGAAGATAAAAAGCAATACTTCTACTGTATGACAGATCTTCCTCAAATAGTTTTCTATTTATTGACTACTTCTAATGAAGTGCTATTAAAAAAAAAAGTTTACTTCCTACACATCATCCAAAAGGCGCTGTTAACAAATTCACTTTCAGTGCTGAAAATACTTCAATTTGTCATGTCTGATAAGGTTGTTTCAAAATACCAGATGACTACAATGCATATAGCTCAGATATAAATCATGAACCACATATGGAGGAAATGGACCAAGATATCCAATGTATGATGAGCTCTATAAGGAAACTAATGTCCTAAACTTATTTACCCAACAAGGCTAGCCAGTCCTTCAGCAAGAGAGCAGAGGCACAACAAGAGAAAAAGGGGAATTTGGGGTAGCATGATGAATGCCTCTGGGAATTAACTGCAGGTGTCAATAATTTTTGGCACGCTTCTCAGTCTTTGTAGCAGTTAAATTGTTAAGCACTGGCTTAAATCAAGAAAATTTGAGATAATGCTTTGATTATTCTTCAAATAATTCACTTACTTGATTGTCATGTTCATTATCCTTGATAACCAAATACCTCAGTAAATTTAATGAAGCCATAATCCTGTTAATTAAAAACATTATTTGTTATTTACAGTATAGTTTATATAATCAACAGCAATTTAAATGCATAAAGTTAAAACATTTGCAATCTTCTTATAATTAATTTGCCATTAGAAACTACTCCCATTATATCTGTGGAGTAATAATAGCTTGTTACTGCTGCTTTGCATTTAAGTTCACAAAATACAATTAAGAAAATTACTGTTTTATTTCCCCTCAAGAAAAGCATCATCTCTTGCTTTCTGGATTTTAAGATTCCTGTCATTTGTAAATGCTTGCAAATATTTCTCAAAATCCACCTACTATACCAAAATAGGAAAAAATTAAAGACCTTAAAAAAAAAAAGAAAATCTAACTACGTAAACTTTGTTTTGGTAGTACTAGGGTTTGAATCGAAGACCTCATATTTGCAAGGGAGTACTCTACTGAGCCACACTTCTGGTCTTTTGTTGTGCTTGTGATTTTTGTTTGTTTGTTTGTTTTTTTGGGGGGGGTCCGGTCGTGGGGCCTGAACTCTGGGCCTGGGCACTGTCCCTCAGCTCTTCAGCTCAAGGCTAGTGCTCTACCACTTGAGCTACAGCGCCACTTCCAGCTTTTCTCTTTTTTCTTATGTGGTGCTGAGGAATCAAACCCAGGGCCTTGAGCATGCAAGGCAAGCGCTCTACCACTGAGCCACCTTCCCAGCCCTGTGCTTGTGATTTTTAAGATAGAGTTTGCTTCCTATATGGTGCACCTGGACTTATCTGCTTGTTTTATACTTCCCATCATAGCTGGGCTGATGAGACACAGACCATTATTCTTTGGATGCAATGGAGTCTTAAAAATGTATCTGAGGCTAGGCTAGAATTGCAACTGTCCATTCTCAGCCTCCTACAAAGCTAGAAACTGCCTGGTTTCCAAATACACAAACCATTTGTAAGTTATATACATGAGATTCTTATTTTTTAATCACAAAAGCTGGGGTTGCACAAATCTCTATGGGACGCTGAGGATAACAATTGAAGATAATCAGAGTGTTGTTGTGGGGGATTGTGAGAGAGCAGGTTGGGGAGTGAGTACTGCAGTTTGAACTTCAGGTACTTGGCCCAGCTCTTTTTGCTTCAGTTTTCTAATAGGGCCTCTCACTATGCTTAAGCTGGACCAGACTGTGATCCTTATGTTCATTTCTTGTGTAGATGGAATGACATTGTGCCTAACTAGCTTTCTTATTGGTTATCTGGATGGTCTCAAACCTCAATCTCCCCAATCTCTACCTCTTAAGTAGCTAGATTACAGGTGTGAGCAACTGTACCTAGCTAGTGTGTTGGACATTCTTAAACAGATTTTATTTTGTTTCTACATAATAAGTAACTTAAATATGAAAACTTTTATGTCATTTTATGAATTAACCATAGGTCATTATTAGTTGAGGCAGTCAATTATTTGAGCCTCAGTAATTAACAGCTCACCTATCAGAGTTTTGTAGTAAATCTGTTTCAGCACCCTCTGGCAGAAGCAGTACCAAATCTAGAAGAGAAATCAGCTGTGGTCCTGTAAACCATTTGTTATATGTTTTCTGGGGGGAAAAATGGGAAAGGTTTAAATAATACCAAGATAAATCATGTGTTTTTCTAATACCTGCAAACTACTACAAAAACAATTTTACATTTCAAATGTATGTTTTTGATCCTGGGGTTTGAACTCAGAGCCTGGGTGCCGTCCCTGAGCTCTTTGCTCAAGGCAAGTGCTCTACCACTTTGTGCTACAGCTCCACTTCTGGTTTTCTGGTGATTAATAGGAAAAACATCTCACAAGTTTTCCTGCCCTGGCTAGCTTTGTACTGTGTGTACTGTGATCCTCGGATCTCAGCTTCCTAAGTAGCTAGTATTATAGGTGTGAACCACCAGTGAAGTGCCCAGCCCCAAGTGTGTTTGTGTGTGTGTGTGTGTGTGTGTGTGTGTGTGTATACACCCGCGCGCGCGCACGCGCCAGTCCTGAGCTTGAACTCTGGGCCTGGGCACTGTCCCTGAGTTCCTTTTGCTGAAAGCTAGCACTCTACCACTTGAGCCACAGCTTTTTCTGCAAGTAATCAGAGATGAGTCTCATGGACTTTCCTGTCTGGGCTGGCTTCGAACTGAGATCCTCAGATCTCAGCCTCCTGAGTAGTTAGGATTACAGGTGTGAGCCACCAGAGCCCAGCTTCAAATATATTTTTTTAACACTGATTTCTATCTTTCCTTAGAAAAACCTTGAACAACCCTTGCCTGTTTTTAGCACTCTGATTTACAAATGTACAGGACTTAAGTTTCCATTTATTTTTCATTAGTCCATGGCAAAAAAAAAATGTTGTATTATTAGTTCAAAGAATTAACTTATCAAAATTTACAGTGGTGTTTTTTATACTTTAATAGTACACTTAAACACTGTGGGGCAAAAGCTCACATTGATGCATTCTATATACAAGTAACTAACACTGTGACCATGACACCAAGGCTACCTTAAATGCTTACCTTAAATGACAAATCAATTTGGTTTTTGATATTTTGAATAATAAAGGCTTCCACACCTGAGTGATTACTTGTATTCAATAAGCACCTTGAAAACAATTATAATACATGAAGTTATACTACTTTGCATTATAATTAAATTATAATTAAAGCTATGAAAATTTCATTAGGCCATATTATTTCTAAGAATATAAAATCCATAGTGAGATGACAATCAGCAAGCCAATCAACCTATTACAAAGTCACCTGTAAGTTATTTGCTCTCACTAACTAGTTATCTATCTACCTAATCTACCTAATCTATCTATCTATCTATCTATCTATCTATCTATCTATCTATCTATCTATCTATCTATCTATCTATCTATGTCTATCTTGGAGTTTAAAGTCAGTGCTTTGCACTTCTCATAGCTGACACTCCACCACTTGAGTAACACAGCTCCTTTCTACTTGTTTTTTGGGGGAACTGGAGTCTAGTGAACTTCTCAGACAGGGCTGGCTTGATCCTCTGGATCTCAGCTTTCTAGGATTATAGACATGAACCATCAAAATTCAGTTAAAATTTATAATTGGATCTTTTCAACAACAAGGTACTAAATGTACTAAACCAAACTTCAGTCTTTTTCTGCATCGAGTTGTGATAATTTAATATGGCAAGAAGGGCACCAATATAATAACCTAAAAGCTTCCAAAATTACTCACTGTGAAAATATACTATGGCTGGTTAGACCAGCTTAATTGCAAAAAGGAAACTTGATGTGATTTAATGTAATAGCTTGGATCATAAATGTCTCCTAAAGGCTCACAGGTCAAAAGCTTGGTCAGTACCTGATGGTTCCCTTGGGCAGTGGTAGAGCTTTGAGGAGATAAGGCCAGCAGAAGGAAGTTTACACAGTAGGGGCATGCCCTTGAAGTTAGGGTATTAAGGTCCTAGGCCTCTCCCTGTTTCCTGGCCACCATGAGAAGAGCTCCTCGGCTACCCACCTCTGGCAACACACTGCAAAGCAATAGAGCCAACCCAACATGGACTCAAACTCTGAAACTGCGAGCCAAAATAAATCCTCTTTTTAAGTTGATTTTTCTCAGGTATTTTGTCACAGCAATGGAAAGCTGCCAAGACAACTAACAAGAAAAAAAGGAGATTATCTTGGTAGATATAAGTAGAATCGAAGAACACTGGTATGGTATAAGACAAATATAGAGATTTCATAAACCAGGTCTGACTCTTTTCATATAAATGAAGATAGGACCAAATATGAAACAATCCCAAAGAAGACTTTCTAGCACTTTAATATTATTACCTAGATTTATATTTAATTCATTTTTAAGACCTAGAACAGAGCTCAACAAACTGAACTCTGAAGGCCAAAAGCAGCCTGCTGCTCGATTTTGTTACCTCCAAATATAAAGACAGTGGAGCACTTGCAACAGAGGCTGTGTGGCCTTTTTATAAACCTATACCTAGTGTTTGACCTAACAGAAGGTTTCCCAATCTTTAACTTAAAAAGCTCTAGAATCTTTGCCACCTCAAATAGCACCATTACTAAGCTCTAATATGTTCAGTTACTAATCTATAACTTAGTTTTAAGTGTAAATAATGGAAATTACTGAAATACATAAAATTCTAGCAGAGAATTGCCAATCTCAGATTTTTGAGGGGTTTTACTAAAACTTTACTGACAAAAAATAAACAGAGGGCCAGATTTGTCTAGGAAGTTATATGTATAATTTTATTGCCAATTTCTGTCTTATACTTCAAACTCTGGTGTTATATATTCCCACCAGACTCTCCAAACGTAAGAATAAAGTTCAAAGGACTGGCATCATCAAATTGGGGTGAAGAGACTAAGAAACTAGAATACCTCCTATGTCCTTAGTGTGGACAGGAAATAACTGTCACTCTAAAACTTTTGAGAGTTGACCAAGAAAGCTAACAGTACAAAGTTTACAGTACAGTGATTTCACTCCTAGATATAAACTGAGCCAAAGTTCCTGCAGGCATCAGATTAATTTTTTTAAGTGTAGTTTAAGCTTTACAGGATTTTTTGTTTTGTTTTGCTTTTGTGTGTGTGTGTGTGTGTGTGTGTGTGTATGTGTGTGTGTGCACGCACACTTGCACCAGTACTTGGGCTTGAATCTAGGGCCTGTGCATTATTCCTTAGTTTTTGCACTCAAGATTGGCACTCTATCATTTGAGTCACAGTGCCACTTCCAGATTTTTGGTGTCTAATTGGAAAAAAAAAAGTTTTATGGACTTTCCTGCACAGGGTGGCTTTGAAATATAACCCTTAAATATCAGCCCCTTGAGAACCTAGGATCAGCACCCAACTAAGTTTACAGTATTTTAACTAATTGAAATGAAATACATATGATTATCTTTATAGTGTGTAAGTATATATACATCTAAAATATTTGTTAAGCCCTTTTTCTACCTGATCAAATAAATTCTATACCCTGCAATAGTTACATTGCACTAATCGTGTTTTCCATTAACTACAGGCTTAGCAAATAACCATGTGTTATGGATTGAATATGAAATATACCCTGAAAGCTCATGTGTTAAAGGTTTGCTGGCTAACTAGTGGGCTTTTGGAAGGTGGTTGAATACTAAGGGCTGTGACCTAATCAACAGATTAATCCTCTGAATGCATTAATAATATAATGGAGCTATTGAGAGGTGATGACATTTTAGGAGTTGGGCCTAATTGCAGGAAGAAGTCACTTATGGGGCATAATCTAAAAAGCTACATCTTCTTTCCCTACTGTGACCCACTAGACACATGCCATGATGCTCTTGCCTTACCACAGACCCAAAGCAAGCAGGGACCAAACCCTCTGAAACCATGGATCAACATAAATCCTTCCTCCAGTTGTTTTCTCAAGTATTTTGACATAACAACAGTGATTCACACCATGATGCTTGATACATACCTAAATAATGTATATTTGCCTTGTGAATCCAACTTGTTAATATATAGCTGAAGCATTGCTAAGCTCTTTTTCCTCTAAAATGGAACAAATAATACATTACCTCACATGAATAGATCATTTATCAAAAATTTCTCACTGTAACTCATCTAGTATCACAAAATGTACATACCAGTGTTTCAATGGGGCAGAGTGTCATAATTTTGACTAAGCCCTGTGAATAAAAAATTTTAATCCAGATAAACAGATATATCAACTGCAAACACCCCTATTATCAACAGTGGATGCTAAAAATTCAGAGCAGGGAAGGAGATTTACAAGTGAAAGAATTTAACTTTTCCATGAGCCTTTCATATAAAGTCTACAGGGAAACTAACACTGATTTTGTGAGTAACACAGAGTGGGATGTTACTATATATATATATTTAAAGTAAATAGTAACTTTCAATTAAAAAAAATTTGGTGGGGGGGGTTGGTCATGCGGCCTGAACTCTGGGCCTGGGCGCTGTCCCTCAGCTCTTCAGCTCAAGGCAAGCGCCCTACCACTTGAGCCACAGCGCCACTTCTGGCTTTTTCTGCTTATGTGGTGCTGAGGAATCCAACCCAGGGCCTCATGTATTCAAGGCAAGCACTCTACCACTGAGCCACCTTCCCAGCGCAGTAATTTTCAATTTAATCTACCAGCAAAATGAAATCAAACATGTAGAAATATGTTCATTAAACATAAGCAAGTTTAGTATATTAACAGAAGTATGTTTTTCTTTTCTTTTTTTTTTTTTTTTTTGGGTCTGGTCATGGGGCCTGAACTCTGGGCCTGGGCGATGTCCCTCAGCTCTTCAGCTCAAGGCTAGCGCTCTACCACTTGAGCCACAGCGCCACTTCCGGCTTTTTTCTTTTTTGTTTATGTGGTGCTGAGGAATCGAACCCAGGGCCTCTGGCATGCAAGGCAAGCACTCCACCACTGAGCCACCTTCCCAGCCCAGAAGTATGTTTTTCTACTTTAAATATTAAGAACTTCTTGTAATCATAGCTAGGGCCTATTTGTATATTTTAACAAATAAAAATCATAAGGCATGATAAACCATAGCAGGAAAAACCAAAATGTACATTTGTCTCTGAAGTAATGGGTCCAGTGCATGCTTCACACAGAGTTCTGAAAACCTGTGTTCTGAGAAAGAATCCCTTCAGAGCCAAAGTGTAAAGAAGAAAGATTTTCCACTACATGTTATACCATCACCTGTGGTAGCCACTGGTAGCGAATGAAGTTTAAATTAAACTAAATTTAAAATTCAGTTCCTCAGTCAACACTAGCCACATTTCCCCATTTCAAGTATTCAAGACTTCTGTACTGCCCAGCACAGATAATGGAACCTTCCTATCAACACAAAGCATCCTACTGTCACTACCCTGGCGATTTTAGATGTGGAAGGGGAAGAGGGAGAAGTAAAAGGCTGAAAGAGGCAAGAGCCGATTTTCAGGATTAGAATGCACATTTTATTTACCTGAGGTACACTAAGAAAACTCTTGATTTCCAAGTACTGATACAGTAGGCTATTGTCTTCTATTCTCAACAAACCATTCTCCAGTAGTTCCTACAGATGAAAATATATGCAGATAGCTCAAGAGCTGTATTTGTTGTTTTTTTAAATGATAATGGGAGCACACAAAACTTACCAATCCTTTGGAGAAAATAGATTCTTCTGTTCTGGAAGAAAAAATGTAAAAGTATCAATACGATTTTACAAATTGCTTGAGAATGATTCTTTAGGAAATATAAATGATATTGAAATGCAAGCCAGGTGCTGGTAGTTCATGCCTGTAATCCTAACTACCTGAGATGCTAAGAATGGGAAGACGTAGTTTGAAGCCACATTGGGCAAAAAAATTTGTGACAGCCCTTCTCACCTAATACTTGGGTTGGATGGCCCACATCTATCATCCTAGATATGTGGGAGGCTGGATCTAGATTATCATGGTTTGGCTAGGCTGGCAAAAACTCCATCTCAATAGGTAAAGCTGGGTATAGTGGTATACTCCTGTCAGGTCTGCTACTAGGGTAGAAACTGATAATTATAGAAGTAATGGTCCAGGTGCATTTTTGGCAGGAAGTAAGACCCTATCTGAAATATAACCTGCTGAGCAGGCCAGGCTCAGCAGAATGCATCCCTAGCAAGTACCTAGTGTTCAAACTCTAGTACCTCCAAAGAGAAAAAATGTGTCTCATTAGCCAGTTGTGGTGATAAAACTGTAATCCAGTAGTTGGAGACTGATTTGAGGTCAGCCTGGACTACATAGTGAGATCTTGTCTCAACAAAACAAAATTTAGTATATGACATAAAATGCGTGAAAATTCTATTGAAGAATTACCCAAAATTCTTAATCTACTTTGCTCTGCTTTAGGTTTGGAAACTGATACTCAAATCTGATCAAAATTAGCCTACTCAGAGCTTATTTCTTAATACAAAAATCAACAGATCTTTAAGAGCAAGTGTAAGAAATATCTGATAGTTTCATATATATTGTAATTATATAGTTATATATATTGTAGTTTTATATACATCTCACATCTCACTCTACCACCTTTTGAAATATGTTTAAAAGCCACAGAAACAGAAGACTGGAAAATACCTTTTTAAAAAAAACTTTGAACATTTACTTCTTATTATAAAACAATCAGTTAATTAGGACCTGGCAAAGAAGACGTAGTTCCCCTAATCTTGGCAACAACTATTTAACCTTATTAAATCCTGAGTTACCATCTAAAGGATCTTACCTTTGTAAGAAGACTTCAACATGCTCCATGTTAAACTGCAAAATGTATGCTGGGCTTAAGCAGAAAAAAACACATACAATCATATACAATCAGTAATTTTCCTTCACTCACCAGTGTTGGGGATCAAACCCAGGGCCTCACATTCTACCGCAGATCTATATCCCCAGCTGCAAGGTGCAAGGTGTGTGTGTGTGTGTGTGTGTGTGTGTGTGTGTGTGTGTGTGTGTGTGTGTGTTCTTTAAGAAATTTTATACACATGTACACTGTTTCAGTTGAAAAGGGGTATGTGTGTGTGTGTGTGTTCTTTAAGAAATTTTATAAACATGTACACTGTTTCAGTTGAAAAGGGGTGTGTGTGTGTGTGTGTGTTCTTTAAGAAATTTTATACACATGTACACTGTTTCAGTTGAAAAGGGGTGTGTGTGTGTGTGTTCTTTAAGAAATTTTATACACATGTACACTGTTTCAGTTGAAAAGGGGTGTGTGTGTGTGTGTGTGTGTGTGTGTGAGATCTTTAAGAAATTTTATACACATGTACACTGTTTCAGTTGAAAAGGGGTGTGTGTGTGTGATCTTTAAGAAATTTTATACACATGTACACTGTTTCAGTTGAAAAGGGGTGTGTGTGTGTGTGTGTGTGTGTGTGATCTTTAAGAAATTTTATACACATGTACACTGTTTCAGTTGAATTGTCCTCCCCCAAAAAGATATTTAGAACTATAACCTCAAGTACTCAAAATATAATCTTGGTTTTTTTTTTTGTTTGTTTTTTGTCAGTCCTGGGGCATGAACTCTGGGCCTGGGCACTGTCCTTGAGTTCTTCAGCTCAAGGTGAGTGCTCTACTACTTCGAGCACAGCAACACTTCTGGTTTTCTAGTGGTTTATTGGAGATAAGAGTCTCATGGACTTTCTTGCCCAGGCTGGCTTTGAACTGTGATCCTCAGATCTCAGCCTCTTGAGTAGCTAGGATTACAGGTGTGAGCCACCGGCTCACTTGCTTACCGGCTTACTTGGTTTTTATAAAGGAAATATATAGTGAAATCTCTAGGGTAACCCTAGTCCAATATGATTGAATTACAAAGGGCAATTTGGACAGAGACATGCAGATAAGGACAATGGTATATGAAGGCGAAGAATAAGGATATACATTATGATATATTATTTATATTATATATACACATAAATATATAAACACACGTGCAAAAGAACTTCAAAGACTGGGAGTAAACTCCTAGAAGCTAGACAAGAAGCTTCTAGCTTCTGAGAGACTCTCTTTCACATCACTGAGAAGTTTAATCTCTGAGATAGCTTAATCTCAGACTTCTAAGCCCTTAGAACTTTGAGACAATATGTTAACAGTCTACTTTGTTGTATTTTGTTACAGCAGCTTTAGCCAAGTAATGTACATAACTGTAAGTTATTTTGGTGGTTCTTGAGTGTAAGTAGGGCCAGACAGAAATATATTTGAATTCCTCCTATACAAAGGGGGAGAAAGTAAGGAAAAGTAGAGGAGGAAAGTAACTGGAATACACAATATATATACATGAGAAAGTCATATAGAAATTTTTCCATAGTTAATGTATGCTAATTACAAAGTAAAAGTTTATTCTTTAAAAAAAAAACAGACAAAAATAACCAATGCACAAAGAGGTTGAAGGCATGGTTCAAGTGGTAGACACGATTAAGGCCCTGGTTCAATGCCAGCCTTGTGTAAAACTAAAACATAGGGGCAGGCACTGCATGCGTGTAATCCTATCTATTCAGGAGGCAGAGATCTAGGACCACAGTTCAAATCCAGCTTGGACAGGAAAGTCCATAAGACTCTTATCTCTAGTTAGCCACCAAAAAGCCAGAAAAAGTAGTAGAATGCCAGCCTTGGGCAAAAAAGCTTAGGACAGCACCCAGGCCCTGAGTTCAAGACTCAGAACCAGGGGAAAAAAAGAGGGCTGGGAAGGTGGCTCAGTGGTAGAGTGCTTGCCTCACATGCATGAGGCCCTGGGTTCGATTCCTCAGCACCACATAAGCAGAAAAAGCTGGAAGTAGTGCCGTGGCTCAAGTGGTAAAGCACTGGCCTTGAGCTGAAGAGCTGAGAGACAGTGCCTAGGTCCAGGCCCAGAGTTCAGGCTCCACAACCAGTAAAAAAAAAAAGAAAGAAAGAAAGACATGCATGAACACTCTTACCTTAACACCATTGGCAGCTGATCAAGATTGATGCCCTGAACAAATACCAGATATGCCAGAGAAGCCATGGAGTCAGCCAGCTGTTTGTCTTCTTCCTCCTCAAATTCAAGGTAATCCCAAGTTCTCTTTCTCTTTCCATGATTAAAAATAATTTGGGGTAAAGGGTGTCCAATTGCCGATAAAAAGCTCTGTGAAATGGGTTAAGGCAACTTACGGTGTGGAGACTCTAAGGTGTCCCCTAACCTCATCCCTATACCCGGTATAATCCCCTCCCCTTGAGCAAGTGTAGCAGCTGAGACTTACTTTTAATCAATAGAATATGGACATACCTCTCATGGCTAAATTATGTGATATGTCAAAGTAAAGGTATTTTTGTAGATATAATGAAGGTCCCTAAATCAGGTGAATTAGTCAGACAGGTGACTATTCTGATTGAGCTAGATTTAGGTAGCAAATTATTTTGTTTCTTGCTTCTGAAGCTTGGATTTTTAACTTAGGGCCTCGGGGTTGCTAGCCACAGCCTAGTCAGGAAAAACAGGGGCTCACTTTTATGCCTCAACTTCAATCCTTGTTTATGCTTTCCATGTAGCTTGGATGGCAAGTGCCCCCACAGTGCCCAGCAGTGATTCAAGAGGTTATCATGAACTTTCTACCTGAAAAATCTCAAACCCTCATCATCAGTCAACAGGATCTATATACTAAGAAATGATTGTGTCAGATTGGGTGGGACACACCTAATAAATCTCAGCACTCAGAAGGCTAAAGCAGGAAGGCATGACTTCAAGGCCAGCCTGAACACAGTGCATTTTCATCAGTAGTACCCTTTTCATCATTCTCCCCCATCTCTCCTAACCCCACCGATCTATGTATTTACACATGTTCTTATTTATAGCAGAAGTCTGGAAGGTGTTCATAGTATTTGTCTTGGAAAATGAAATTATTGCTGTTTTTATGCTCTGTCTTTTTGGCCTGTGTTCTGCAAAAACCACCTATCATTTTATAAATAAGTTATCAATGTATAGCTCATGTGAAGTGTATGAGAATATAACAGGATGACATTTAAGGCCATAGTTGATTTTATAGCAGATTAAATTGGCTGTACTTACTATTATGTCAGAAGCAAAACTCCGTAAAGGATCATTCCCAGCATCTTCAGACTGTTCTAGGAACTGTGCTGTCAGCAAAGGGCATTTCAAGCTTTTGAAACAGCTAAAGCATAAAAAATGGATAAGTATGAAGTCAACACTACTAAAACATAAACTGTCTAGTTCTTCAGATGTAGTTTTACATCAAAAATAAAATAAGCACGCTATGCTCTGAATGTTTATCTCCTCCAGACCTCATATTGAGACTTAACTGGCAATGTGCCAGTACATGAAAGACTTGGCAGCCATACTGTGTTTAGTCTCTGTACCTGGAGAATACTAGGTAGTGAGAACACTACTGGATTTTTGGTCAGGCTGGATGCTCAACTGTCTGGTAGTCCTGCTGTTTTCAAAGGGAGAATAAAGTCACCATTTCCCCACAGCCAGAATAGCTTCCTTGAGCTATATATAACCATTTCCCTACTTCCATAATTTCAGATTGTAAAACATAAAAGCAATAGATAGAAAAAGATAGTCAAATCCTTGGTTTTCTAAACTAAAATATCTAGTTTTCAATACTTCATTATATCATTATAATATCTGGTTTTAAAAACATCAATGCTAAGCTGGCTGTCTGTGGCTCATGCCTCTAGCCCTAGCTCAGGAGGCTGAGATCTAAGGAGCGCAGTTCAGAGCCAACCCAGGCAGGAAAGTATGTGAGACGTTTATCTCCAATTAACCAACAGAAAACTGGAAGTGGTACTGTGACTCAAAGTGGTAGAGCACTAGCTTTGAGCAAAAAAGTCTCAGGGCAAGCACCCAGGCTCTGAGTTCAAGCCCCACAACCAACCAAAAAATAAAACTAAAAAAAAATATTTTATTGATATATGATTTGTGTGTGTGTGTGTGTGTGTGAGCGCACGTGCGTGTGTATGCCTAGAGTTTAACTTAGGGCCTTAGTTTGCTACCACTTGATAATATGGGTTTTAAAATATGATACTATATATAGTAGCATATATGTAATATAAATGCCTCACTAAATGCCCATGCTGTATCAGCTAAACTCCATATTCTTCTAAAATTCAAAATCTGAAACTACAGCCAGGTGCCAATGGCTCGCTCATTCCTCTAATCTGAGCTACTCAGGAGGCTGAGATCTGACAACTGAGCTTCAGAGCCAACTCAAATTTGAGAGACTTTATCTCCAATTAACTAAGACAAAGCCAGAACTGGAGGTATGGCTCAAGTGGTGGAACACTAGCTGTGAACAAAAAAAACTAAGCGAGGAGAGTGATAGACCCTGAGTTGAAGATCTGAAAGTGCATTTATATTCACATGGCAAATAGGAAACATAACGTAACCAAACCATCAATTACTTAACTCCATGTTCTTAACAACATACTTACAATTTCAGCAGTTCATCTTTTAATTTTTCCTTTTCCTTTTCCTTTTTATCTTTGCCATTCATGACTTCTTCCACAAAAGGTTTAGTGAACTCTATTAAGGCCCTGCAACATTGACAAAGGCCATAGTCATCTGCTTCTATTTGTTCTTTTGAGTACGGGACAGGGAGGAGAGACAGCTGACTCCAGAGGGTAGACAATGCCAATCCAACTGAATACGCCCTGTTGTTAGGAAGTTTCTGAATCACTGAAACAGACATGGAATTAGTTATTATTAAAACAGCTTCATCAAGCATGATCAACATATCACAAGAAGTTCAGTATACAGAATTACAAAACTCTTTTTTCCCCTACATTTTAACAACTTTTATCAGGATGACATATCATAGCTAAATTGGAACTGTTTTTCCTTGTTGGAGGTCCACAGACTAAGCATTTTAAGCATATTATGTATGAAAGCACACAAACCTCTTATACATACATCTTATACATACATGTTGTTTCTGTGTGTTTATAACAGGTTAAATTCTTAAGACAGAAACACTTCATGTTTTTCATGAATATTTCTTTTTTTCCACAGGATTTTGAGTATTTCAAGTGTTACAAAGCAGATGATCATTTTCATTTAAAATAAATTTATTCCAATTTCTAATTCTGGGACCCTGGGATCACACATATTTCCTAAAATAAAAAATAATCTATCCCTATGAATAAATATAGTCTATCTGCTATGCTCTGGGAGACTTCGCTTTCCATACCTCCTAGTATCTTTATCCAGCCACAGCTTTGTTATTCTTATCTCCAACCTCCCAATGCCTTGTCTGACATTCTACACAAGATACAGAGCAATCATAATAATAGCAGAGTGAGTATATCATAGACAACTTGAGGGTAACCCTTTGACAATGCTTAAAGGGAAAAATTCTACTTATAAACCATAGAAAGGAAGGCTAACCATAAAGATACAGATTGCAACATGGCATACAAAAAACAGCATAGCATTCCACAAAATATTTACTCAGGTAGCCACTCTGCCAGGAAAATATCAGCCCGATTCAAACTGGCATTACTATTACTCATGTAAGCAGAGGACTTAATCATTTGGCATAAACTTTATTGCAGTGGAGTATTCACACTTTGGGGTAAACATCAAATACACAAATAAAGCAAGAAATACTTTGATATCAAAATGCTCATTACCTGTTTGTAATGGCTGAAGTAAAAGAAGAATAATTTGGGATATCTGTTTTCCAGAGGGCTCTTCAATCAGTTCAAGCAAACCCAACAATAATTCCTTTGGATTACATAACTATAAAAATATTCACAATTGAACCTGTTTAAGTTGTATTTAAAGCCACATGATTACTATTTTTAAGAAGGTATATATTAAGAAAATATAATTACTTTTGCTTAACCATGAAATGCCTCAACCAATTGTTAGGAGACATTGGGGGAGGGGGGGGCAGGGAATGGTCAGAGCTCAGGTTTCCCGTGTCCCATGGGTGTGTACTAGCCTCTGATGTTACACACTAGCTGCTGACATTACACACTAGCCACTGATGTGCCCCAAGCTTCTCACAGGTGGGCTCTTCTATGCCAACCTGCCTGGGTATTTAGAGTAACCCACAAAATCTTTTCTACCTAAAGACAGAACTTTACACCACTTTTAGACTGGACAGATCTTACCAACTCATTGGCCTTCTTTTCAGTTGCTTTTTTCCCCTCCAGAGCTGGGGATAGAACCTAGGGCTTCACACGTGCTAGGCAATCTCTTCTACCACTGAGCTATATCCCAAGCCTAATGTTTGTAAAAAGTTCATGTAGTCAGGAACTCATCTAGAAGGAGCTGCTTCTTTCTACATATATATTTGCACTGATTTCCTAGTTTCCTATGATGTCATTTTTTTCTCTGAATTTATCTTTTTAAGTCATCATATATTAACATGGAACTTTCCTAGCTTTTTCTCAATGGTCTCTAAGGTCATAAGTCACAACGGATCTGTGTTCTGCTTCTTATTCATACCCTCATGGTTGCTTGCAATTCTAGGTGTTTTGTGTTAGGAAAGAATTTCAAACAAATTGCCACAGAAGAGCACTGACATTTGATTCTAGTTCCTATGTTACAAAGAGATCAGTATGTCTCTCTAAACACTGAATCCAGAATGTGTGTGATACAGCTATTTGTCAGAATACAGCCTCCCGGCTCTCTCCCTCAAGATTCTGAACCTGTAGTTCTGCTGTGGTTAGTAATTCTGATATCTAGAAACTCTGGGAAGTGGGAAATAGAACTATTCTTTCAATCAAATAAAGTTAGGCTATTCTCCAGAGAATTCTCTTCTGCATATTACTTTCATGAACTGAAAAGTTTTCTTATCAAATAACATTCATTAAACAGTACAGGGAATTATAATACTGCTATGGATTATGGAAAAATAAAAGTTTTATTAACTTACCTTTACCAATAAATCAAGCATCAGAAAATAATCTTTTCTTTTATCATCTTTATCATTCCATAAAAGACACCTAACAACAGGACCAACAAGATTCCAGCCCATAGACTTGATGATGACCTGCAAAACATCGTCAGAGTAAAGCAAACACTGCCCTCTACAGGACTCAGGGTGCTTCCCTAACCTAGAGGAGTTTAAGATTTTGCTCACAGAGGAAAAAAGAGGCAAGTAAGGGCTACCACATTTCACCACTCACTTTCCAGGGTAGGCTACAAACATATAGTGACATTATCAAATACTTTTTAAGGCTGGGAATAGTGGTTCGCACCTGCAACCCAAGCTACTCAGGAGGCAGAAATGGGGAGGACCCCAGTTCAAGGACAATCTGGGTTAAAAGCAATCCCTTTTCAATCAATAATAAGCTGGGCACGGTGGTGCTCTCCTGCCATTCCAGCTTCACAAAAAACTTAAACTAAGAAGATCGTGTTCTAGGGCAAACTGGACATGAATATGAGACCCTAATCTGAAAAGTAAATAAAGCAAAACGGCTTCTGCTTTGGGCTGTATGGCTCAAGTAGTGCTTCACTTGATTGATAAGTACAAGGTACTGACTTCAAACCCAAGTACTATAAAAAAGAAATATTTTTTAATACTTTCACTGAGCAAGGCAAAAAGATTTTATGGGTTTTTGTTTGTTGGTGGTAGTCATGGGGCTTGAACTCTTGGCCTGGACTCTATCCCTGAGCTCCTTAGCTCAAGGCAAGTGCTCTACTACTTGAGCCACAGCACCACTTCTGGTTTTTTCTGGTGGTTAATTGGAGGTAAGAGTCTCACAGAGCCAGGTACCGGTGGCTCAGGCCTATAATCCCAATTACTCAGGAGGCTGAGATATGAGGATTGTGGTTCAAAGCCCGAAAGATCATGAGACTTACTTGCAATAAACCACCAGAAAACTGGAAGTGGCATCATGGCACCCCACGACTGACAAAAAACAAACAAACAAAAAAGAGTCTCACGGACTTTCCTGCCTGGGCTGGCTTTGAACCATGATCCTCAGATCTCAGCCTCCTTAGTGGCTAGGATTACAGAAATGAGCCACCAGCTCAGCTAAGGATTTTATGTTTTATCAAGTAACTTGGTCTTTCTTAGGCTTTGAATAGTTCCTCTGCTTTCAAAAGGGGAGTTAGCTTGCTTAAGATTAACAGGTACTTAAGCTGAGTACTAGTAGCTCACTGTCATCCAGCTAGTAGAAAGCTGAGATGAGAGGATTGAGGTTCCAAGCAGAAAAGTCTACAAGACCCCATTGTAATGGAAAGAAGTTGAACATAGTACTGTGTGTCTCATCCCAGTAACAGCACAAAGCCTAGCACAGGTGGACCACAGTCCAGGTACATGCCTGAGCAGAAAGCAAAACCTTTCCCAAAAAACAACCACTGCAGCCAGGAACTGGTGGCTCACACCTGTAATCCTAGCTATTCAGGAAGCTGAGATCTGAGGATCACTGTTTGAAGCCACCAGGCAAGAAAGTCTGTGAGACTCTTATCTCCAATTAAGTACAAAAGAGCCAGAAGTGGCTCTGTGGCACAAGTGGTAGAGTGCTAGCCTTGAACAAAAGGAGTTCATGGACAGTGGCCAGGCCCCAAGTTCAAGCTCTAGGACTGGCATGTCTGCACGCGCGCACACACACTCACACTCACACACAGTAACCAGCTCAAAAAAGAGTGGACAAGCACCAGGTCGAGGCAGGATAGTGTGTTTGAGGCCAGCTCAGGCAAAGTTAACAGTGAGACCCTCTTTCAAAAACAAAGTACAGACCAGGCACTGTGGCTCATAATTGTAACCCCTGCTACTCTGGAGGCAGAGATTAAAGGATGGTCACAATTTGAGGCTGGCCTCAAGCAGAAACCTGAGTGTTTACCTGAAAACTAGCTAAAGTAAAAAGGGGCTGTGGTCAAGTGATAGAGAGCCTGCCAAGCACTTGGTAAATCTAATCCTGGATTCAATTCCCAGCACCAAATAAAAAGAAAAAGAAAATTAAGTTGTAGTCAGTTTTATCAAAATTGGAACCTCTGAATTTAGCAGGGCATACATACAAAGGTGATTCTCAAGCTATTAAGACTAAGCCTGCCTGTGCTTAAAACTTATCCTATCAGCTATTTATTTAGAAGTATGCTAAAAATAAACCACTCAGACCCACTAAGGTGTCTCAAGCCTATAATCCTAATACTTGGAGGGAGGAAGATTGGAGGAATCAGAGGCCAGCCCAGGCATGAAAGTTCACAAGAAGCTGGGCAGGTGGCTCACACCTGTAATCCTAGCTACTCAGGAGGCTGAGATCTGAGGATCACAGTTCAAAGCCAGCCCAGGTAGGAAAGTCCATGAGACTCTTATCCTTGATAAAAAACTAGAAACGGAAGTGTCACTGTGGCTCAAGCAGTAGAGTGATCTACCACTAGAGCCATACTCCAGTCCAGTATCTTTGCTGGTTAATTGGAGGTAAGTGTCTCACACATGTTTTTGCCCTGGGAGGCTTTGAACCTCCATCCTCAAGTCTTAGCATCCTGAGATTTGAAATCTTAAGTTTCGTGCTTGCACTTTACCCTGTGAACCACTCCTCCAGCCCTTTTGCTCTAGTTCTTTTGGAAATAAGGTCTTGCTTTCTGCCCAGGCAGGCCTGACCCTCAGTCCTCCTGGTTGTTGTCACTTGGAAGACAGATACATGTCACTGTACAGGTGTGCACCGCCAAGCCCAGCCATTACTTGAGATAGAGTCTTGTGAACTTTTTTTTTTTTTGGTTGGTCGTGGGGCTTGAACTCAGGGCTTGGGTGCTGTCTCTCAGCTCTTCAGCTCAAGGCAAGCGCTCTACTCTAATCTCCAATAAACCACCAGAAAACTGGAAGTGACGCTGTGGCTCAAGTGGTTGAGCGCTCGCCTTGAGCTGAGAGACAGAACTCAGGCCCAGAGTTCAAGCCTCCTGATTGACAAAAAAATAAATAAAAATTTGAGACTGAGTATTACTATATTGCCCAAGCTGATCCTTACTTGTGTGCTCAACTAATCCTCCCACCACAGCAGCCCAAACAGCTGAGGCTACAAGTGTTAAATACTATGTACCTGTCCGTGTGGTTATGGAATGGCTAAGTTCCTACATATATAAAGCACTCAAGAAAGCATATGGTCAGACACTGGTGACTCACATCTGTAATCCTAGCTACTGGGAAGGCCCAGATCTGCGGATCAAGGTTTGAAGTCAGCTTGAGCAAAAAAGTACATGAGACTCTTGTCTCCAATTAACCAGCAGAAAGCTGAAAGTGGAAGTGTGACTCAAGTGGTAGAGTATCAGCCTTGAACAGAAGCAGCCAGGCAAGAGTGTGAGGCCGTTGAGTTCAACCCCCAGTACTGGCAAAAATGAGAGATTAAGAGAAAGCATAAAGAGTAGGGCATATAGTAAATTTAAATAATAGTTGTTATTTTAGTATTAGTAGCCAAAAGCTAGATATACTTAACGGCTGTCATCTGTGAATGCCATGGGAGAAAAATCAAGAAGAACTGTTAAAAATATATGAAACTTGGGGCTGGGCATCATGGCACATACTTTTGTAATAATCCCAGCTACTAGGGAGATAGGTGCATGGATCATGGTCCAAGGCTGGCCTGAGCAAAGTGTGAGCCTTGATCTGTAAAACCAAAAGGACTGAGGCCTGGGTTCAAGTGGTAGAATGCCTGCTTAGCAAATGCAAGGCTCAGAGTTCCCAATATTACAGAAAGAAAGAAAGAGAGAGAGAAAAGGAAAGAAAGAGAGAAAAAGAGAGAGAAGGAGGAAGGGAGAAAAGGAGGGAGGGAGGGAGAGAGAGGGGAGAGAGAGAAAAAGAAAGAAGGAAAGGAAGGAAGGAAGGAGGGAGGAGGGAAAATAGAAAGAAATGTACAGTATGGGGGGCTACTAAGATCATACATATATCCCCCACACAAAATTAAATATCCTATTTTTTCTAATAAACCATTTAAAAAAGGAAAAAAACCATCTTAACTAGCAAGAATCTACAACCGTGTGTGATTGAAGTCTCAGAGTATCTGTAGATACAGCTCAATGGTAAAGTACTTGCCTGACTAGGTTGTGGGTTCCATCCCCATTCTTGTCTCAAAGCAGGGGATGGAGGTACGCATGCCTATAATCCTAGTACTCAAGAGGCAGAGGCAGGAGGCAAGAGGCAGAGGCAGAGTTCCAGGCTACACAGCAAGACTCTGTCTTCTCTGTCTTCTCTAAATCTAATCAAGGTTCTCTGGCCAGAAATGCAAGCTAGCATGGCTGGACTGTTACCAACAAAGCAAGTTTGCATTTATATCAGTAACGTAGTAAATGAAGGAAGGTCATGTTCCGAGGAAGACAATGTTCTATCCTATACCCATACAAAGGGGAGTCCAAAGTCACAAAGCTAGATAGTGTGTTGTTAGTAATGTGTCCCAGGAAAAAGTTGCTCGTGATCCCCAAACAGGTCCCTTTCCTGTTATGATGTCCTATAGGAGCTGGATGACACCAGCCAGCTCTCATTATAGGTATGCAAAAATATTGTTTTACATAAAATCTGGTTATCAAAAAAATCTAGCTAGAGGAAAAAGGACTGATCACCAAAAAATGAGTACCTAGTCTGCCTGACACTAACATTTCTCAATGTAAATTCATGTTTTAAATGCTACTTTTTGATCCCTGAAGCTAGAAGTAATCCTGTTCTTTCCAAAGCCTGTTACTTATACTTCCATGGCAGACCTTACTTCATTTCCTTTGCCTCAATCTACTTGTTAAATGTGTATGTCTCTACCAGAATAAATACCCTAAAGTATATGAATGTTCCCTCCTAATTTCTCTGATTCTCCTCTCCTCTCTCATACTGGCACTTGAAATCAGAGCCTGGGTGCAGTCAAGGCTGCCGTTCTACCACTTGAGCCACAGCTCTACTTCTGGCTTTCTGCTGGTTAACTAGAGATAAGAGTCCCATAGATTTTTCTGCCTGGGCTGGCTTTCAACCTCAATCCTCAGATCTCAGCCTCCTGAGTAGCTAGCATTACAGACATGAGCCACCAGTATTTGGATTCCTAATTTTATTTTTGTTTTCCAGTTTCCTACTGTGAAAATTTAAGTGGATTCCTAGATGTTTTATTAAAAAATAAAGGAATGAAAAATCAGATTCAATTATTCTCTTTCCAAACAGATTCCCAAAGTAAACACAAAGCTTACGCTTACCTTATTCTTTTCATTCTGAATAATTTGTAATAGCTGATCTATGTGCCCTTCCTCTATACATCTTTGGCCTGCTAATTGAAATAAGCCAAAATCTTCTTCTTTGAAGTCATGCTCTTCTAAGATTTGCTGGTTCAAAATAAAAGAGACAAACATACAAATCAAATACATATGCAAAGAGAAATTCTATATGACAACAACTTTGATTTATCTCTCTGAAGACAAATGAAATCTGCTTAAGTTCTAAACTGCACACAAATACATACATGAAAATTATGACTACCTAATAAATACTTTTTCTCTTTCCCTTTTGTTTTTTTGGGATAGGGTCTTGCTATTATATAGCCCAGGCTGGTCATAATTCTGTCTTCATCTCCTGAGTATTAGACTACAAGCATGGACTACCAAGCCTTACTGAATAAACATGAAATCTATATGATCAAACTCACTCATGAAAAGGGTCTGTGTTAAACTTAAAAAGACAAACCAGGGTGCCTTCCTGCTCTCACACTATTTTTTTTTTTTTGGGGGGGTCCAGTTGTGGGGCCTGAACTCTGGGCCTGAGCGCTGTCCCTCAGCTCTTCAGCTCAAGGCTAGTGCTCTACCACTTGAGCCACAGTGCCACTTCCGGCTTTTTTCTTTTTGCTTATGTGGTGCTGAGGAATCGAACCCAGGGCCTCAGGCATGCAAGGCAAGCGCTCTACCACTGAGCCAACTTCCCAGCCCTTCTCACGCTATTTATGAACAAGAAAAGATGGGCTTAAGGATAAATAGTCTGACCACCAAAAATAATCTATGTCCTTCCCATATGCTAAAAGAAATTTAATTTTACAAAAAGAGGGAAAAAATACTTACACATCTCTTCACTATGGACTGAAGTTCCTCCACAGCCATTCCTAACGATTGTGTCCTAGTTGTGATGCTGAAATGTACTAACATAAAATATACTATTAGCTGTGACATACGGTGTTTCAAAAGTTAAGTTTCTCAGAAAGTACAATGAAGCAAATTTAGTTTTAAGGCTTAAATGTTATCGCTGAATGTCGGTGTGTAGGCCTTTCTAAGAAAGCAGGACTTGTTAAACCACGGTGCATCTTTTTTCCGACTGCATCTTTAAGGGGGGAATGGATCTCCTAAGACTTCTTCAAGGCAAAGCAAATACACACTGAAGGGCTTTTAAAAGGCAAAATATTTTTTTTCCGGAAAAAAACCTAAAAACGAAAAAAGCTCCAAGCGAGGAGTCTAAGGTCAAGATTGTAATCCCTAGGGGCAATCTTATTTGTTAATTCCCCACTTGACAAATCCAACCCAATTCAGTCACCCAGAGGGCTTGCGGTTCTGGCTACCCCCACCCCACTTTCCTGCAGAAGCTGCCCCCCGAAGTAGTGATCACAAGCCAAATCCCCGGATCACGCAGGCCCTCGGCGGGGGGGAAGGGGGCTGCGGGCCGCCGCTCCGCCGACTCCCCGGCTTGCCGGAGGACAACTCCCTAGTGCCGTGGGCAGCACTCGGAGGAAGCCATTTCTCCAAAGTCTGGCTCTGCTAGCGTTCAGGCCCCACTACCTCGAGGGGCCTGGTCTGCAGGCCATGTCCTCCACGACCCGCCGCCCACCGCCAGCGCCCTGGCCCCAGATCCAGCATGTCCACTTACCCGCCAGACCTCGAGGGCCTCTCCACGCCCGCCACGGCTCCGGGCCCCGCAGGCCGCGCTCCAGGCCCCGCCCTGCCCCGTAGCCACGCCCAGCCTCCGACCACCGCCCCGCCCCTCCGTCCCTATCTCCTGCCATCGCCCCACCCATCTGCTGTAGCCACGCCCTGCAGCCCTGCTTTCCGACCACCGCCCCCGCTCTCGTAGCACCGCCCCGAGGCCCTGGTCTCTGATCATCGTCCCACCCCTCGCCAGTAGCCACGCCTCTCAGCCCAAGGTCACCACCCCCACGCACCGAGGGGGCGGGGCCTCGCGGGGAGACGCCGGAACCTGAGACCGCTTCCCATGGCTGACGGCGGCAGACCCCGTTTCGCGGGTTTGAAACCCGGGCCTCCCCGCCCCTCCCGAAACGCTGCAGGTAGGAACATGATTCCGGCCCGTGTTTGCCGCTGAGGACCAAGTCCAGGTTTCGGCCCGACCGGGGAAGGAGTCTCCGGGACGCGAGGTGGAGCGCTCCTGCCCTCGTCCGCCCGCCCCCCGGAGCGAGTGAGGGGAGTCCCCGGCTTTACCCGCGTTTCTGAGCGCCAGGCCGGGCTTGTGGGGAGCGAGACCCGCCTGCGGCGGGGAGGGGGGAGGGTCTCAGCGAGCCCGGCCGGCGGCGGCCAGCCTCGACCCTACGGAGGAGCAGGCCGCGGAGGGCGGGGAAGTCCCAGAGAGCGAGCCCGGCCGGCGGCCAGGCTCGAACCTGCGGAGAAGCGGGCCGTGGAGGGCAGTGGGGGAGAGGGGAGCGGAGACATCCCAGAGAGCGAGCCCGGCCGGCGGCGGCCAGCCTCGAACCTGTGCCTCCTCCTTCCGGAACGCTGGCGTCTCTGAGGAATGACTCCTAAAAGTACCGAGATCACAGACTTCAGTGATGCTTAATAATCAACTGTGGTGCATAAGAAAAATCATTTCCCAAAGCGATACTTTGCAACCAAGAAAAATTAGGGAGTTATTAATTTACAAAAACAAATTGTATTTTCTCCCTATTGTGAGTTATACACAGGGTTGGAAGGGGGTGGAAAAAAATGTCTACAGTTTATTTGGGCAGAACTCTATCCTGTATCTGATTTGATTGTATACTTGACCTAGTATTATTTTAATTGTAGGTACTAAACAGACAAGAACCTTGAAACAAGATGCTTCAAAAAGGTATGAGAACTACTAGGACAGCAATAATTGGTACTTGTTTGCAAAAAAAGTAAATATGAGAAGGAAGGAAACGATATAGGAAGTACTAAAATTCTCACATTAACTTGCTGCCTCCTTTGGCTCCAGGATTTAAGAAACCCAGACTACACACTAAGACTCCCAGTGAAGGTGGGATATCTGTAGAAGTCTGTGAGGACAGCAGAAATTAATCTGGGACTCTTTATTGGTGGATATGCTAGGAGACTTCTTCAGAAAGTTACTATCTGTAACACTCCTGGAAACTTTTTCTTGTCAAAAAAGGCTGTCCTGAATGGCCTTTTGACTTCTAAGAGGACAAGATAATCTCATGTCACTAAAGGTTTCTAGAATAGTAGTTGTCTATGAAGGGAATCAAAAACCATGTATGCATGAGTCTGTATCTGATCTATCACTTTATGAAAATTTGCTAATTTTATACTGGATGTGATCTTAATATTCTTTCAAAATCATTTACTGAGTATAAACTATTCTCCACTTGGATTAAGCCCTGAGGATATGATATTGAGATAGATAATATATCTTGACTAGTGAAACATATCAAACTGGTACCAATAAATGCATAATAACAAATTGTGGTAAGTGCTACAAGGAGGAAAAACTTGGATAAGAGCATGATTGGATTTAAATTTACAAAATTTTAAGATGTTAAGGCCAGTGATCATCTGAGAATGGAGAAACAATGTATTTGAGTTATATCTTAGAACATATTTCCTTGTGAATCAATATAGTACCCTAATGGCTTTATGCTATATTACAAGAATAATGTTTAGTTGATACTGATTAAGATTGTGATTTCTATACTCCTCTGAGCCTCAAGCATGGTAGTACATTCCTGCAGTCCGAAAGTGGAGGTAAAAGATTTCAGGTTTTAGACCAGCTTAGGCTCCATAGCAAGACTCTTATCTCAATCTATCTGCACTTATTTACTCTTGCACCTCATCCATTTCTCCTCCCACCCCCCAATAAAAGAAAAAGCCACTAATCTAATCAACCCTGTAGAGATTCCATTTGCTACAATTTTAGGAATCTACAAAATTGTTTTGAAGGGGTTTGACATGCTGGGAAATTAGGCCCTCCTACTTGCTAAGCAAGCACTCTATCACTGAGCCACAGATGAAATTAGTTTGAGTAGGTCACCAAGTTGTTAACAGCAGTGACCCTCTATATATTTATTCCAACTGGAAAGTACTCCTACATTCAATCCAGCTGAATACAATTAAAGCAGGAATTGAAACAATGGGCAAAAATGCAAAATAACTCAACTTTTCTCATAAAGTTCACTTGAAAAAGTTAACAAAGACACAGGTGCCAGTGACTACTTAAATATTGGAAGAGTTTCCTTTTCTAGGCCAACTCAGGCAGAAAGGCTTTGTGACTCCATCTCAGTGGAAGAAAGTAGGCATAGTACTATACACTTCTCATCCTAGTTATAGTGGGAAACATCAAACCAGAAAAATCTCTATCTTTGCCCAGGCAAGGACGCAAGACACTTATCTCAAGGATAACCAGTGCAGAAAAGCACAGGAGCTATAGTTGAGTAGAAAGTTCTGCCTAACAAGCTTGGGATTCTGAGTTGAAATCCAGTATCATAAAAACAAAACTAAACAAACAACAAACAAAAAAACCATGTTTGGGCATAATCGCCACATCTCATGAGGTGGAGGTTAAGAGGGTCCTGGCAAAACAAGGCCGAAAGCAAGATTCCAATCTCAATCAGTAAGCCAGGTGTGGTGATACACACTGCTAAAGGAGTGTGGCTCAGGTTCAGGTGATTTGAGTCAACAGTTCCTTAAAACAGGCTGTATACTGATCTTAGTACATGAGACAGTTATTAGGCAGTAAAATGAGAAATAGGACTTTTTTTTCATGAAGCTACATGTGTTCAATATAAAGAACTGTCATTTAATCTGTGTTCACATCTTTCATGTAAAAACAGTTTTTACAAACCTGATGTGTAATCCTAGCTACTTTTTTTTTTTTTTCCGGTCGTGGGTCTGAACTCTGGGTCTGGGTGCTGTCCCTCAGCTCTTCAGCTCAAGGCTAGCGCTCTACCACTTGAGTCACAACACCACTTCCGGCTTTTTTCTTTTTGCTTATGTGGTGCTGAGGAATTGAACCCAGGGCCTCATGCATGCAAGGCAAGCGCTCTACCACTGAGCCACCTTCCCAGCCCGTAATCCTAGCTACTTTAGAAGTGGAGATCAAGAAGATCTCTTAAGATCAGCCTAGGCAAAAAAAGATTAACAAGACCCCATCTCAGTCAGTCACTGGGCACAGTGGTGTGCCTGTCAGCCTAACTCCTAGAGAAGCTTAAATAGAGTGCTTGCAACCGAACACAAGAATAAATGTAAAAGTTTTATAATAATGGAAACCAAAAGACCGGGCCTCAAGTGGTAGAATGCCTGCCTGGCAAGCATCATCAAAAAAAAAAAATTAGGAATTGGTGTGAGAATAGATGTTAATTGCAAAATTTCTTTTTGTTCTATCCCTATTTGGCAAAATAAATTATTAGCAAAATGATGTCAAACCTCCAAACTACTTTTGGAAGGCATACTGCTTCATACAAGGAATTTAGAGTCCAAAGTCTTGGAAGTCACTGAGGGCAGGAGGAGAAAGTGAGGGCATTCCAAGGTCCAAATGTGAGAGGCAATTCAAGGACCAAGTATCAACAAAGGTAGTTCTGGCAAGTATGTAGAAACCAGCCCAGGAAAAAAAAATTGCGTAAGTCACTAAAATCATTGGTATCTTTGGGCGTATGGCAGTGACTTACAACCCTGTTGAACATTAAGATTGGACACTTTTAAGAAAATAACCAGGCCCTGCTAAGTGATGACTCATGCCTATAATTCTAGCTGAAATCTGAGGATCATAATTTGAAGCCAGCCCAGTCCATCAAAAAGCTGGAAGTGGAGGTGTGGCTCAAGTGGTGGAGAACCAGTCTTGAGCAAAAAAGTCAAGTGAAGCAGGACAACAGGTTCAAGGCCCAGTATACACACAAAAATACAATAAATTACCAGTCTTTATCCTCAGAGATTGGCAGGTTGCAGGGGGACCTGATCATAGTTATTGATCTATTTTTTAATCTCAGATGATCCTGATGTGCAGCTGAAATTGAGAATCACTATCCTGGGGTCTTCTTTGATAGATGATCTCTAGGTATATGTTCCCTATTGTGTTGGGGCCAGCACAAGGCTGATAATCCAGTGGTAACAAGGACAAGCCCTCATAGAAACAATTTTATTTCCCTAAACTATGTACAGATATCAGCGTAGCTATTTAACAAGACTTTACAACAGAAGTAAACACTTACTTTTAGTAAACATTATTCTAAGTGTGCTGTCAGTTAACTGGAGACTTAATTTCTACTTATAAGACAGAGGCTCACAAGGGCTCAATAGCAGTGTACATGTGATCATATAAAATGATGTTTATTGAAATGAACTCCAAGGAATGGAAACGAAGTTTCTTATTGTACTGTTTGTCGTTATTTTCCCCCCTTTGGTTTATCCCGTTTGTCAGTTTTTGATTTCTGTACCCTTTGTCTTATATTTGTTTGTCTGATTTGGGAAGAGGAAGGTGAAGCACAGAAACGGTGGGACAAAGGGTAAACCAGTTCATCAGTGATACTCACTGGACACTGTTGGAAATGAACTGTACATCTTGAAGTGAGGGTCGGGAGGGAAAAAAATGGAGAAAATGAGGGAGGAGGGTGGCACTGTTCAAAAGGAAATGTACTTGTTGCCTGACTTATGTAACTGTTACCCCTCCTGTACATCATCTTTACAATAATTTTTTAAGTCATCTTTTTCCCATCTAGTCCATTTTGATTTCTGCCTCCA